TATAGACAATAGGGAATCAATAATCTCTATGGATTACCTCAAGCAGATATCTAGGCTGTCATTGAGGAGTGACAAGGTTAGGTTAAATTGCCGCATTGTATCCTGCATCAATATAGGATCCCTTTGATCGACCCCTAGCCCTCTCAAGCTTAGGTTGAAATTAGTCCCGCACGGCCTAAATTATTCTTCAGGGGGGTTCAATGATAACCTACGTGCGGTGGTCTTTTCTCACTTGGGGCTGCTCCCAATACTTCATCATCATCAGATTTTTCACAATCTTATGCTCAAGACCTGCAATGTCGGCAGCTCGTTGGAGAAACTGTAATGTATTGGCTATGCGCCGCGGGTTCAGCTCTTCCGGTGAAGATGAACGAAAGGCGGATCGCAGACTATGCCGAAGAACATGCCGTGCTGGGGTAGAATAATTGATGGCCTTCAAGCCCTGGCGATACAAGTGGCGATAGGCATGGACAACAGCTTTCTGATCCACAACAGACTTTAGAGTCTGGGTAGGTGTAATCATCCTGCCGCGAAAGGGAGAAGGAGACCTCTGGGTCACAGGCAACTGATACTAGAATTTCCCCTCGTCACCACCACCCTTATTCTTTTGATTCACCACTCAGCAAGATGTCAGAATGCGCCAACATTACTGTGAATCCCTCAACTGCTTCTCTGATCCAGTTAGTGGCAATCAGAGTGGAAGGTGCTAGATATAATGACAGGAAGATTGAATATGTAGCTTGGTTGGTCGCAAATTGGAGTGAATGAGGTAGGTCACGCTAGCCCCGATCAGGCAGGCACCAGCGGCGCCCGCGCGTTAGGCCGCAAATGGTTTAAGTTTGGTTGCCCTCCGGCGCTCTCGTTCCCTCTCCCACCTTTCCCTTTAAACCTCGTCCACCAGCCCAACCCAGCCTGTTGGAGGTTCTTCTGTATACTACCCCCGGCTGCCGCTATCTTTGCTGCTCTGCCTCGCTATACACTCCTATATTTGGGAGGTCAGCGTTAAACCGGCTAACTACCTTTTCGGTCTCATCAAGCACCCCCCTTTATTTCGCGGTATCAGAGCTAGTGCATCATCTTGTTGGGCCAAACGGTGGCTAGACCGACTTGAACAACTATCGGCTTGTTCCAGTTTAGTCCATACTCTTGACTTTCTGGGACTGCGGTTCATGCATAGGATCTTTTTCATTGTGTAGAATATGGCTTACTAACTTGAAAACACCCGTGTGACTACTAGCTGTCTATGGACGCGTCTGTCTAACCATTCGCTCTCGATGATTGATCCTGGCCCCCACGGCTTCATTCCATGCAGTGTGTGTATCCGAACCGGTACCGGTAAAATGAAGGCTTGTCTTCTGTAGCTACTTGGGAAGGTTCTACATTGTCAGCATGGCCCGAGTATCTCGGAGACCTCCCTCGGTCCTTGCCAGGCGAGCCCCGAGCAGGATCGTCAAGAGAAATGCTCGAAAACATAGAGTGATTCTGGAATCTGTTACTCAGGAGAAGAAAAAACTTCGAAGTGTCGTATGTTGTTGTGTTATCAGTTTCTCACGGGCACTCTTGACCAAGAAAACAGATATCTTTTGAAGCAAAGGCCCCTCCTGGTTATACCTTCATACCTGCAGGCAACCCTCAGCTTACAACGGCATGTAAGGAATTATGTCGGAAGGATGGTCTGAAGGTATTCGCTGTCACGGTATGCCGACAGCTGTATCCATATTCGGTCCTTGGATCTCGTTTATCTAATAGCTATGGTTAGACAACGCCGCATATGCACACCCACAATCTCTCCCAGCATGTACATCGAATAGGGTACCACTTTCCAAGCGCTGCGGTCGCAGCAGTGTGCATGGATCTGGGTCTCTATCTCACGGCCGCTGGGAAAGCGGTGCCCTTTCGCACGGTTGGCGGTGAGAACGACCGCAAAAGAGCTAATTCAGAAGTCTCCCAGACAACTATTAATACAGAAGCGAGAGATGTCTTGAGAGACCTGTTCCCCAACATTCCCGATAATGATCTCAATCAAATCATCAAGACCGCTTTTCAGAAGGTACGTGACGAGCCCAAGGAGAAATAGATGGGGGGGGGACCATGATATACGAATGCGTGACAGATGCTGAGACCGATTTAAGGGCCAGCGAAAAGTAGGAACGGCAGTTGAGCTACCACTGGCTCGTCGGGCTCAGTTAGCGGTTGTGGCACATATCCGACACATTTACACTGACTACGATCGTCTCCTGAAGGCGACATCCTTTCATGAAGCTCGGACCGTGGTCGAAGAGCCCACCCTTGCAAAATTAGTGGAGTGGAGAGGAGACGATGAGAATGGGAAGACAGTCCTGGAGGACGTCTTCCGAGAGGTCATTGTCATATCGGATGATGAGGACAGTGATGTCGAGGGAGAGCCGTTCTCGCCTAATGATCGCGATAACAGCGTGATGGTGGTTTCCAGTAATCCCCAGGCTGACGAGCTTCAAACAAGGACGCTAAATTATGCAAACCCTGCCCTTCGTGATACCCAGTTAGATCCGTCGGATGAAGAAGCACCACCAGGCTTCCGCTACATTCCAGAGCCCCCCAGAAGACATAAGATTGATCGTCGAGGCTTCAGCAGATATCAGGCTTGGGACCGCGCTCTCAACCGATATAGAAACATAGCAAACGAAACTAACCAGCACAGACTGCATGATGCCTCCGAATCTCGGGGCCCGGTCGTCACTCGACAGCCATTGCCAGGACCTGTTGGGCTTGAATCAGAGTCTGCTCATAGACCTCATGTTTCGATGGCACCCGTTGCTACGTCTAGTGCAAGGCCCATCAGTACCAACATAGGTAGGACGGTCGCGGACTCTGTAATGGAACGGGTAAGCCACCTAAGGTCTATATTTGTGTTTATCATAACCGTGCTCTATGATCTACACTGAGAGGACTGCTTCGAGCTAACTTTGAACAAGCAGTATGAACTGCACCGTATGCCTGAACTGCCTGCTCAGAGAAAGGAGATTGCACCTGTATCAAGTGCGGTTTCTTTGGAGCGAGTGCCAGTCATTCAACAGCAGAAGCGTTCATATCAGCGAGAAGACTCGCCAAATGCGCCTGTATTTGTGAGTGGCCCGAGAGAGGTTCATGAGATGACCGGGGACCCAGCCGTCCTTCCAAGACCTCTGGCCTCGTCCCAGCACAGGACCAATGTACAGCCACAGGATCATGCATTGCCTTCTATTGAGACTGCCACACCCATGGAAATCCGACGCCCCAATAGTGGCCAGCTGGATTACCTTGCCAAAAGGATTTCCGGAGATTTTTCGATTCGCTCAATAACCCCTCACCGTCCTGCTCGCCAGGAGATGATACACCACGATCCAGAAATTTCTGATCGAGATCAAGCTTCTAAACGGAGACGTATGGGCCACTACGAGCGTGAACGGCTCTGTAATACTCAAGCCAGGGTTGTCACCACTGGTGCAGCGTTCCCTTACACAAGCGGCAGGTATCAGGATACCCCTGGACATACTCACATGAAACCCTCTTCAATCCAGGACGATATTCATTTCCGTAGGAGATATGCTGCCCCCGTTGGATCTCACCCTGTTGCGGAGGGTCACCCGGAAAGAACGCAATACTCCAGTTATACTACCGCACCTGGCCCCAGGACCATGACTGCCGTGCATCAGAGGCCATCGGAAGACGTACATGGCCATGCATTTCATTTTGTGCCTTCCGGGCTGCCCATCCAGTACAGGTCTCCAGGGCAATCGCAAGTTGTGCCAAGTACAAGATATGCTATTCCTGAGGATAATGCTACTGATAGGCTTGTTCCTGTGCGGCCCAATGAGTTGAGAGAGCGACGTGTCTATCATGAGGTTCCTAGATATAACTCTGGCAGTTTAAGACCGCTTGACGTGGCTCAGCTGGAGGACCCTGCTCGTCGCGGCAGAGAATATGACCCCCCTTTGGTTTCACAGGAACCGTCTCAAGGAAGACACTATGCGGAGGACTTCGTTCGTGCCGTTGACGTACGGGATCCTGTTCCAACAAAGTATCCAGTGCAGCGTCGTCTTCAACCTGCAACCTACCCAGTCCACCCCCATCCTCTCCCGGCTGGAATTCCGGTGCAGACCGAACAATACATGCGTAGTTCGCCCGGTAGCACAGAATGGAGCAGGCCCGTTGGCCGTGTTTGTCTGGATTCCCGGGCAGGACCCGCTATCCAGGATTATGTTGTGGCCGATCATCATGGTCCAAGCAATTATGCTGACAGGGTACCTAATCCGCCTTTTACAGCCCGCCACTACGTCAGAGGGTATGAAGATGCTGTGGACACTTCACGGTATGGACCTTGCAGCTGGGGCTGCGCGTGCTGTCCCCTTCTTAGTTTCTGAACTTGTTGCTAACGGACGCGAAACGAACAGGCAAGCCTATGACCTTCCACACGATGGCTCGCGCATGGAAGAACAACGTTATCCTACCTATGTAAGACGCGTTGAGCGGGTTCCCTATACGGTTCCTGAGGGTCGAACTGTTGTCATTGTGGATTAGAAGGCTTCGGGTTGTGTTTGGCGATGGTGTTCTATGTAGATGTCCGCATATGCGTTGCTGTACATAAATCTTGAGCTTGAGCGTCAAGCGGATATGATACCCGACCACGTGTCAACAACAACAAATCTGACAAGCGATGTGCTTACCTCGCTTTATCACGCAGCTACTCTGAGTTTAGAGCACTACTACATGCACTCGTGTCTCTTACGCGTATACCCGCAGAAGTCGTCGTCATCACCAGCCACAGCGTTAGCAGACACATTGCGCAGGCAGCGGACAGACAAACAAATCAACCATGAAGGTCAATCACAAAACGATACGAACGTAGTCAAATAATTGCGCTATATACAACCATGCAGACAGCAGCAGCAGGTCAGGGGTATCAGGGTATCTCGCAACACTACCCAAAGCAGTAGCCCCTTCTCCTATTCTTTCAATATATGCATGCATAATAACACTGCCCCCTTCGGACGAAAGCTTCGTCACCTCCACAAGGCCAACCCCGGGCTCCATATGGTTCTTCTGATTTTGCTCTTTCTCTTTTCTTTTTCCCTTTTCTTTTCTTTTCTTTTCTTTTCTTTCTTTAGACACTCATAGTCTGGCCATCAGCCTCTCCACTGTTGACCGTCTTTCCAGTCTTCTTGATCGTAGCCAGCACGGTATCGTAGGGCACAGAAGGTTCGGTGACAACGATGGCGGTTTGGGATTCCAGGTTGACGTCGAAGGACTTGACACCTGCGAGGGAGGAGAGAAAGTCAACGAAGCGGTTCAGTGCACTTGCTTGTTATTCTGTTTGACGATTTCCTAAAAAGAGGGGGGAGGGTAGAGAGCAGTATGGGGGGGCCTTGACAAGTAGGGGAAGGAAAACATACCCTCAAGCTTCTTCAGGACTCGTTCCACGGCACCGGAGCAACCGCCGCAGCTCATGCTGACGTTGAACTTGTATTGGTGGTCGGACATGGTGTTGGCGGGCGGCGTGTGTACGTGAGAGAGAGAGAGGGAGAGAGAGAGCAAAGAAGTGGTGTGTGGTGTGTGGTGTGTGGATGAACAAATAAGTAAATAGAGAAGATAGAGATGACGATGGCGGGGCTAAAGCAAGGAGAGGAGGGGTGGAGACAGACGGGGGAACGTTCGATCGATGGGCGTTTCGAGTTGAGGCAACAAAAATATGCTAGCGTGTAAACTGCCACAGCAAACAGCGACGATTATTCAGTAGTTTCTGGGAGTAGGTCTATAGACGACGAGATGGAAAGAAACTGGGAAAGAGTGCTTGAGGAATGAAATGAACCTCGTCGCGTTGTTCTTATACTTCCCAGGGTTGGATATCGCAATCCCGAGGCGGGGCAAAGAATGCGCAGAAATCGCTCATTGTCTTACCAATCAAGCCGCTACAACTGTACATCTACTAATCTATTCGGGGTTGTCTGAATGCTAATATTTCATTCATTTGGATGAATAACAAACCCTATCAGGGCTGCTTTAGAAACCGGCCGCGCGCTTCTTTTTGCGTGCCTTCATTACATTCTTTCGCCCAGCTTCTCGGCCACCAAATGCGCCCCGCTCGATCTGTGTCATCGGAACATCGTCCTCGATAACCTGACTGCTTTGCAGTCTGAGAACAGGCGCCTCATTGTGCTCTGGTTGACTTCCCCACCCCCGCACATCAGGAGTAACAGAAGTCATCGGGGCTGGGGCTGGTGCGGGTGCGGATACATGCCCACTATTCACAGTGATGGTTCCTTGGGTTGATGGAGTCTTCTTGCGTTGACGACGTTTTGGTGTCGTTGCCTTAGATGCTGGTTGCGACTCCTCGGTTCCCTGAAGCTGCATTGCCCTCTGCCAGTTGTACCCAGCCGGGTCGGTACCTGGTTGCCAATGGCCTAACATGCTCGCCACTTTTCGAGGCATATTCCGCTCGCGACTAAAGGTAGTATATGCTGAGAGGCTGGTATATGTAGGTTCCATGTCCCGCAGGCTTTCAGTCTCAAGTTCCTCGCGGCCAAGAGTGCTTCCAGGCGTCGTGCCGCTGCCTGGATCATCAAAGCTACCGTTGCCTGTCCAGGCCGGTCGCTGAGACACCCGCCTCGCACTTCTAGAGCTGGATGCATCGAAGGGATCATCCACCGAAATCATTGATGATGATGGAATATCCCCTGAGTTTATCCGCCTGCTGTCATCAAGTTTATCAACCCCGGAAAGCGTCCGAACTCTAATGCGTATCTGAGCCAAAATCAGATCAGCGACAACTCCACGGATGATCTTCTCTTTCGTGAATCTTGTGCGCCCAGGAAGATCGTGAGGCAGGCCAGCCAGCCAGTCATTGGTAAGCAGATCATAGATTGCAGGAAGGTCCAATCCCGAAACCTCGTATATGAAATCCGCCGATCGAACGAGAAGTGGACTAGAATGGCCGGACGGTTGGCGGTCAGCTTTCCAATCTAAGAGAGCTAGATGGTGGCTGGAGAGAAATTCCTGGAGCCTCCGCGAGTTCTGTTCGACACTGTCAAGCATTGGGCCACTGCCAAGGGCCTCAAGACTAGGAACATCAGCAAAAGATAGTCGGTATATAGCAGTAGATTTACTTACCCTGTGCGACATGTCTGGTCGTTGCTCACCCCAGCACCAGTCGCCATTTCGCTTAGCACTTGCATAGCCTCCTCAAAACTCCTTTCGAAAATTTGATTACCTAGGTCGTCTTCTCGCGATGACAGCGTTAACCTTCCAGTAGCAGCAGCGTAGACTTGGGTGTAGTCGAGAGACCATTCGGGTATTGCAAGGGGCGTTATGCTAGACATCCCAGTGTCTGCGGTTGTGAGCATACCGCTTCCCAGCATGGATTCCTCGCAGTCCTCTACTACAAAACGATCTTCGAAGTAAGTCGACTGCGACCTTTGCACTCCTTGATGCCTCTTCTTCACTCGTAAGACATCTCTTGCGGCTGGTTCATCATCCTGGGAACCATCGTGAGAGGGTGCCGTGTAGATTGATTCGCGGACAGTAAGGCCTGAGTCTACCGCAAAAAGCTTTATGAGTCTAACATGAGGGTCGTGATATTGTTTACCGACCGACGATGGCAAATGCGTGATTTCCTTGAAGACCAGTGTTGTCAGCTGCGTGTTGGAGTGTCGAGAGCCTTCAGTGTCAGGAGATGACAATGGGATCTCCATTATATAGGGGTCTGGTATCGATGTCACATCCGTTTGGTCCAGGGACGAAGATGGGCATTGCAAGGTTAGCGCAATATTGTTAAGGCGCGAGTATACAACGAGGTAAAAGTCTATCGAGAGTATCAGTACATGTGCTATGAAAGGGAGAGATCTGCGGTCATCAAGCTACCTTCTCGCACAAGTAGAGGAGTCAGTCGCAATGTGGTGTCCTCGGGATCACGGAAATGGCGCCAGGACAAACGGGGTAACAGAGGCGGTCGTGAGTCTTTGTCGGTTGCACTACTCGGTTCAGGGCATGATGTTAAATCCAGCCAGAATATTCGAGTCGTCGTCAAGATGAAAACGTGCGACACGTTGGCAGAACTTCTCTTAATGTCCAGAATCCACTCTGATCTTCGCTTAAGGCCAAGCTCAATTGTATATGGAAAAACGTCGCCGCTTTCCATGCGATAGAGCATTGGGCAGCGTCTATCAGAGACAACAAAGCTGTTAACATCACCGACCCATTCAATAGCAGCCCATCCATCATGACGAGGGTGGTCGTCGATGTCTTGGCCGTCTCCAAGATCGAGCCACGGCAATGAGCCAGAATTGACAGACACAGCTGTCCAGTTACCCTTGTTGCGCCTGTGTCGGCCGGAAAGTTCCCAAACACTCCAATGACCTCGTTCATCAACAATAGCCAACTGCTTCTGATACCAGGGATTGAAAGTCACGTCCGCATGCGCAAAGCCTCCGGTCCGCTGGATTGGTATCTCCACCAATGGGTTCGCATCCAGGCGAGACTTGATAGAACGGTCGGGAAATTGGTGGTCACTCCCATGCAATCCTATGACAGGCACTGGCGTTCGGTGATACTGTGGTCGGAAGATGGTAGTCGAGCGGGGCAAACGAGCTGCCATCCACGTCGCGTTATCTTCAACCGTCCGCGCAAAGCAGATTTGACGGACAGGAGCCCCTCCCGCCGACCATTCAACGGTCTCCGTCTGTCCAATTGCAGGAACACGCGCCCAGGAAGTCGTCTTCCGTCGAAGTTCCACAACATCGTCTTCGATTTTTCGAAAGCTGATAGTGTTGCCGCACTCTCCGGATGCTATGACGGCGATAGGTATAACTCGGCTTCCCGAATCGCTATTTTCGAGATCGACCGCATATCCTACATCAAAGAGCGTCGAAATTGAAGGATCACATATGTCGCAGCCAGTGATAGCATGAGAGACGGTTTCGTTGTCGACTAGAGGCCAGCAAGCTGCAAGCTGGGGGTAGGCGCGAGGCAAAAAGCCCTTATTCTCGGTTGAGGAAGACTGCAGTGCAGTGAGGGACGATTGAACCGTAACTTTGGTCACTCCGGAGTAAGAGATACATGAAGCTCCAGGAGGTGTCAGTCTTTCGAACCGGCTCGCGTCGATCTTCCAAACCACTTACATGGAGCTAATGTTCGTGAAAAGACCCATGAGTGAGCTTCTGAATTGTACGTTGGTTTCCCCAAATGCCCATATTGCAGAGCACCCACAGAGTGTTCATCCATCAGGTCTGTTTCTGCTCCTGGCGATATGCGCTAACTCTAGCCTTCTAACCGTGGGCATATCGAGAACCAAAGTACAACGTCTTGGTCACAGCTTGCGGACTGGTAGACGAGTCTCCCGGCAGTGTGCTCAAATGCAACTGCTTCTGACAGCTGTCAACTCATAATCCATGCATGCGCAAGGGTAAATGAAACATTGGATTATCTCGCGAAGGAAAGACCAGGCAAAAGGAAAAAAAACGGGTGATAGATCGATGCCAAGCTTTCGTTAGTCTGGAGCCCGGCGGTTGCGCCGCAACACCGCGCTTTAGCGGCGCGCTCGAGAACATGAAACCAAGTCAGTAACCATCATCACCCCCGCATCGCATATATCGCAATTCCCACAAACTACAACTACATCAGCACCAATAAAGCGTCAAGCTAGATACACCATGAGCTCATCTTTCGATCCGTCGCTCTCGACAAGTGGCATGCGCCCGCCTCTCGCGTCGGCCGATGCACCATCCATGGCGGATTCACTCCCCAGTATCAACTTTGGGTTTGAGGATCTCCGGAATCGCATGGCACAGTTTACTGCTCGCTTCGATGCATTCATCGAGAGAGGCCGCAAGCAGGTATTGGAGGAGAGGAACCAGTTCAAGATTGGATTGGCAGAGCTACAGGGTAAGCTATCGCTTTATGGAGATGGCGCTAGAGCATCGGACTAATACAGGTCTTATAGAGGATGAACGCATGAAGCAAAGGGATATCGAGATTCTGGACCTCAAATCGCAAACGCACCAACAAACACTACAGAAGGAAGCCGCTGAAGCAGCGGAAATGCACGCCGCCATTTCATCCGTGACCCTGGAACGTGACTCCCGCCTCGCCAAACGCGACCGCCTCAAGCAACAAATTGACGAGACCCAAAAGGCGATCAACCAGAAGCTGGAGGCGCAGAAGATGCACGCCAGGTATCTGGATGCTCAAGCTCGGCTGAATGTGCCGGAGTTGGACTTTTGGCAGGACTACCTGTGTTTACGCATTGAGGGAGCCGGACGAGAGGATAGACTAAAGTTTGTGTACACCCATCTGCTCGAGAAAGACTGGGAAGCGGAAGCATGGTTTGAACTCGGCACAGGGAGCCGCGATTACGCAGTATTTCATACACGACCAAAACTCGATCGGGAGGCTCTCGAGCGGGAGCTCGATATCGTCAATGAGGATCGCGACTTTGGTGCGTTCTTGAAAAGAATGCGGAAGTTGTTCGTCGATACAATGAAATAGGGAGTAGATAAAGGCTACTTCCGCTTTGGAAATACCAAATAATGATTAATGTTTCAATACCTGTGTTTGCTTCACTTTGGAATCAGGTCCTACTATTTCAAGGCTTCCGTTCAGACAATGCAAAAGGTCACTTATAGAGGCTTCCTTCGTCTCAGCATACTGAGGAAGATGCCTCAAGTAGCTCGCTGGTAAGGAATTCGTACAACAAAGGCATTGGTTGATTCGCACCCGGCCTATGCACTAACCACCAGTAGCCTCACGGTAAAATGATATGCTCCTGTTTGCACCAGCCGTGGCAAATCCTACTGATCTTCCGATCTTCGCCAGCCACTTGACACTCCAAATTGCTTTGTCTGTTTCGGAATGGGTGGCCACACATGCTCTTGTGTCTATCGACCAAACTTTGACCTTTCCATCAAACGACCTTTTGAACGTTAGATAGCATCCTCATAAAAAAAAAATGCAGAGCAACTTACCCGCTGAGAAGATACTCCCCCGTGGGGCTCCACGAAAGCGACATGACCCATGCGGTGTGCCCCGAGAGACTTGCCACTTGTTCACCAGAGGACGTGTCATAAAGCACAATTACCTTGGAATCTCCAGCAGCAGCAAGAAATTTTCCCCCTGGGGAGAATGCAACAGCTCGTACAGGTTTGACCAAGCCTATATATGCATATTAGACAATCACTCGGCACTTTTGTCTGCTTCGTTTGTACTCAGCTAGCACAACAAAGTACGCACCTGATAGGCTGAATGGCATGCGTCCGCTTTCTGTACTAAAAATGTAAACACTACCATTTTCGTGTCCGCTTGCTATAAAGCGGCCATCCGCGGACTAAAAAGTTTATCCATGAGTTTAGGCACCAACAGTGGCAGAAGTGGACGAGTCTTCACCTACCAAATCTATGCAGGTGCCGAAGCTACCTTTGGTTTCATAGTCTCGGATTTCCTCGCCATTAGTGTCCAGATCCCACACCTTGATATGACCATCTTGCGTAACACCGGCAAGATATTGACCATCTTCGGACAAAGCGATGGCCCAAACATCCGCAGGTGTTGCCTTGTTGACTGGGTCACGGTCAGACACAGGACTGACACAGCGGAGTACTAAGGTACTTACCAGACGCTCCCTCATCCTTTGCCCAGACTCCGTCATGACAAGACCAAATCATGATTTCACCGCCAAAGCCAATACTGACGGCCCTCGAACCATTTCCGTTAGTAACCACATGATGGCACCCGACTTTATGGGCACCGTCAATAGACTGTACTAGCGGAAAATCGGGATCTGTAGTGGAGTGAACTTTGAGGGAAGAAGTACCCGAGGCCGACAAGATCTGCTTGTCAGTCACGGCCAGTGCGAAGATATCAACGGGGTGGGCTGGTCGTGATATTAGTATATGCCAGGGTTTGTAGGGCGTCAATTAAGATATACGAACCATTGTCTGCAGAACCGCAAGAGAGATATTGTTTCGACTAAACTCAATTGTTTCCCCAGTTAGAAACTACCTCAACAGCGTTATGGTTCTCCATGTTAAAACATTACCATTCTTAGACCAAAGCTCTATATGCCTAGGCAGAGTAGGCCCCAGGCGAATTTGAGCACGCTGTATGGTTGTTGAGAGGAGTACGAATGTTGTTTGGGACGCGAGTTGATGATCATGGCGGGACAAACTAGCTGGCGGCCGAATGAGATCATGTTTCCAATGGCACCCACCACTACAGCGGGCCTTCAGTGAAAGACTGACATCCTCTGCCCGACCCTACTAAATTTACTGAGTCAATGCGATTGAAACATGACATGCAAATATCTTAATTCTTGTTTTTTTGAAATTGATATCTAGCAAAATATACAAATATACAAATATACAAAATGGTCACAGTATAACTTAGAAGAAATAAAAATAACAACACTAATATAAATAACCCTCAGGCTGTGCCAGACGCCGAATGCCATGCAGCATTTATCCTACACTTCATGAAATACCAGGTAAAAATACAATCCCCCAAATGCAAATCAAAAGTCTGTCCGCTTTTTTCATCATATATCTCGCCGTCTTTCGCTCTCTAAGCCGTCTGAGTTTGCTTCCATTGCTTCTTGATACCTAAAGGACAATTCACAATCAGTCGCTGAGAATGGCTTGATGGAAACGGAATCGCAGAGATTTTGCACCTACTTTCGACGCAGTGGGGGCACAGGACGTGCGAGCGCTTCACCTGGCCACATCCGGAGCATGTGCTGAGACTCTTGACGTCCTTCAAAGCCTTGCCAGCCATTTGTCGATGACGCTTCTTCATGTGAGAAGTCTTCTTCTTGGGGACGGCGCGGAGAACAGAGTCCCAAAGGCCCTCCATGATCCCGGGAATACTCAAGGATATAGCGGCGGGCTTAAGCCAGTTGGGAGACCAGGCGGAGGCATTGATAGCGAAACGAGACAACCGTCCTACGGCGGCGGCGGAGGACACGGTTTCCGTGAGCAGGAGGCGTCGCGAGAGCATGGGGGCGGACATGTTGGAGGGAAGGAGTCGTAGAGCCAGAATTCGGGAGGTGCCGATAAGAGCTGAGACTGGAATTGGAGCTCAGATTGGGAAGGAGAGAATTGGGCGAAATGGCTGGCAAGGCGGCGGCATAAAATCGAATAATTCTGAAGCTTTTCCACCGATTTGGGGTCTGGAGACACGCTAATCCGTTGGGGGAATAGCGGGCCCCCTGAGTCGCAACCACCGCTTTTGGGTTGGATGGCCAGAGCAACGCAGCTTTAAGGGGCCCCCGGTTATTCTGCTTCCACTCCCTCCCTCGCTCGAAAACGCTTGGGCATCGCCGTTGCTCTTGTTCTTCTCGATCTACTACTTCCTTACTACTACTTGGTGGGCTACCCCCCTCTTTTTTTTCTTCTTTCGCTGTCAATTCCTCTCCAATCTCCCCATTTGTTTACCTCGCTCTTCGTTTTCACCTTTCCCTCTCTAACCAGCCATCTCCCCACCCCTTGGGACGCCCGTCGACTGATAGATATACCATCCTTCGTTTGCTCTCAATCCCTCTCTCGTTATCATCTTCAAGCGTCCTTTTTCAAAATGGCAGCCGCAGCCAATTCGTCTTCCACCAATCCCGCGACGGTCTTCCCTCGCAGCCACGTCGGTTTCGACAGCATCACCTCCCAGATCGAGCGCAAGCTGTTGAAACGTGGATTCCAATTCAATGTCATGTGCGTTGGTGAGTCGACTCTTTCACCTACCATGTCCGAGAAGAGAGCCCCTTCCCTCCCTGCTAACATGGACGAAAAAGGCCAGACGGGTCTGGGCAAGTCCACTTTGATCAACACCATCTTTGCTTCGCACCTTATCGACTCCAAGGGTCGCATGACCCCCAACGAACCTGTCCGCTCGACCACCGAAATCCAGACCGTTTCGCATAGTATGAAATTCCTACGCCATTGCCGTTTCACTCCTGGCAGAGCTAACCGCCTCGTTTCTAGTCATTGAGGAGAACGGCGTGCGTCTGCGTCTCAACATCGTTGACACTCCTGGATACGGTGACCAGGTCAACAACGACAGATGGTAATAGATATGAACCCGCAACATCTGTGACCGAGCTAATGTACTACTAGCTGGGATCCCATTGTGAAATACATCAAGGATCAGCACTCCGCATACCTCCGCAAGGAACTTACCGCTCAGCGTGACCGGTACATCCAGGATACCCGTATTCACTGCTGTCTGTTCTTCATCCAGCCGTCCGGCCATGCGTAAGTCTCATCGAGCGTTCATCACCGAGGATTTCTCCCGGCAGGCTAACCGACTCTACTTCCATTCAGTCTCAAGCCCATTGATATCGTTGTGCTCAAGAAGCTGTCGGACGTTGTCAACGTTGTTCCCGTCATCGCCAAGGCCGACTCCCTTACCCTCGAAGAGCGTCAGGCATTCAAGGAGAGAATCAAGGAAGAGTTTGCCTTCCACAACTTGAAGATGTACCCCTACGACAATGACGAACTTGATGATGAAGAGCGTGCCGTCAACGTTCAGATCAAGGTACGCGAATCGTTGCTGCACAACATTTGGTTTATCTCTGCCTCTAACGCCGGTCCAGGACATCATTCCTTTTGCTGTTGTGGGTAGCGAACGCACCATCGTTGTTAATGGCCAGCAGGTTCGCGGACGTCAAAACCGCTGGGGTGTTATCAATGTGGAGGATGAGAACCACTGTGAATTCGTCTACCTGAGGAACTTCCTCACTCGCACTCATCTGCAGGACCTTATCGAGACGACCAGCCAGATCCACTATGAGACCTTCCGTGCCAAGCAGCTGCTAGCACTGAAGGAAAGCAGTGCCGCTGGGAGCCACCCCGGTAGCAGCCGTCCCATCAGTCCTTCGGCGGACAGAGAGCTCAGCCGCAACTCGCAACGCATGACTATGAACGGTTATTAATTTGGCTGAGAACCAGTTGATGGCGGTGGTCTCGTGGAGCGACCGTCTGAAACGAACCTTTGCCATGTATCCGCGATCCATCAAAGGCCCAGAAATACAATCTTGAGGGTCGCTTTTCTTTCCATGTTTTGATTTTACTGCACCACCTTCTTATCGGCATGTTCTTACAGATATCCTCTTTAACTTCAGGCTTTTCCTTATCGTATTAGTGTTTATCCTACCCTCTCCACCATTGAATGAGGGGTATTCGTCTTGCTTTGTTTCATATGAATTGGTTATTCCAGGTCGGAAAGAGCTAGCAACGAAAGCGCTAAGCGTCGTCTCGTCATTTCCTGTACTTAATTCCCTTAATTACGCATCGCCAGGAGAATATAGCTGGTTCGAAACAATGAGTCATTACTGTTCTTCGCACAGTAAAATCTATGGGAATCACATGGTCTAAAACTCCATACTAATCAAAACGCGCAATGGCCACTGCAGCATCAGACTGTCTGTAACCGACTATTGCGACGCACCGAAGTTTCCACCATCAACGATCCAATCTCTCAACTCCGTATATGCCTTCTCCAAATCGTCATTAACGACGACCTTGTCGTGAGCCCCCGGCTCCTTGGCATATTCGAGCTCGTTCTTGGCTTGTGCGAGACGCTTGGTCAGGCTCTCCTCAGTCTCCGTGCCTCTCCCGCGCAATCTCTTCTCCAGCTCCTCCACCGAGGGGGGCGCCAGGAACAGGAAACGGGCGTTGAGATCGGTACGCTTCACCTGCTTGACTCCCTATTCCAGTGAAATACTATCAGCATCTTCTCTGAACGCTTATACCATGCATCGCGGCATCACTTTCGCCGGCAACAAGAATGAACGGATCCTTACCTCCATCTCGATATCAAGGATACAGATACGGCCCTGCTCCGCAATGTTCTTGACCGCTTGCACACTAGTGCCGTAGTAGTTTCCGCCGAATTGCGCATGCTCGATGAAGCCGTTCTTGCTCACAAGATCTAAGAAGTCCTCCTTTGTCGTAAAATAGTATTCGCGGCCATCCTGCTCACCCGGTCTAGGTGCACGAGTGGTATCTATTGCCGCATAACACCAGGTCAGATTACAGTGCGCTCGTGCTGACGGGGTGACAATCAGGGGAGGTTGAACGAACGCGAGATGGAAAACCCAAAGCGATCAGGAATCTCCGCGAACAGTCGCTTCAGCAGAGTCGATTTTCCTGTACCTGAGGGACCGGACACCACCACCGGACGGAACTTGTGCACTAATTTGGGAGTCATGGTCAGGATATTGATTGAGTCAACCTTTCCTGACACAAGGAGACGCACCAGCACTGGTAGCCATTGTCAGCACTGGGGAGCGGACTGCTGAAGGCGTACGAATAATCTTCGAATAGGAAAGAACACGGGGCCTCAACAGGCAAGAATGCATGAATTAATTGTATATGTATGGGAAGCCGAAGGTGGGATGTCGGTGCTTTCCCGTTACTTTGGGTGGTACCGTTACGGCAGAACCGGAGGCGGTGGGGGAGCGCCAGCCGTTTTAGGAAAAGGTATATAAAGTTAGAACAAGGTGATGGTGAATACATATTCTGATAAGAGCCTGCTTATCGTACAACCTATTAAAGAAAACACCCGCATCTGCCCGGATTCTACTTAGGATTGGTCGAATTCTGAGCAGCAGTGACAGCAGCCACAGTTTCTCTATTTCACGGCTTTGGTGGTAAGTGCTCGGCACTCTGCGACTCCTGCTCCAAGAAATTGGACCACAGCTCCGCTAGCGACTCTTTGTTGGAGTTCCCATTATCCAGGAATTCCGTTGCCAAAGTCTGGCTGCTCGGCGTGCGGTGGACGGGAGTGCTCGGCACCCTCAGTTTGCTAGACGTGCTAGACGCCCCTGGACGCGCCAGACCTGCCTGCTCACGTTGCTCTATTGTGTATTGTCAGCATTACTGTATATGTAGAAATATATCAGGCGCCGGTGTGGTTCGCTCACCATCAGACCAGCCTAGGAGGGCGGCAATAAGCTGCAGGATCTGGAACTTTTTGGGATCTGACCGGTCGAGAGCAAGGAAATGCAACAAGTGGTTCGTGACAATATGACTATAGCAGCTTGTAAGCAGTGTTCTTCGGCAGATTTGGACTCACTGGCGAAAGTCTGACATACCGGTCAACATTGTCCTCTGGCTTGCCTTTCTTGAGGAACCGCAGGGCCTTTGTCAGGTGGTCGTTCAGCGTTACTGCTTCATGTCGGAGCTTCCCAATCAAGAGGTTCTTTTCCTTGACCTCTTTCTCAAACGGCCGTACCCGCTCAAGCTCTGTTTGGGCATCCTGAAGAGCCTTGTCGGCCTTCGAGGCTTTCTCCTCTGCGCCTTGAAGCGCCTGCTTCAACTCTTCTAGCTGAGCATCGGAGCTTTCCACAAGCTCACGGAGTTCCTTTTTACGTGCTATTGCCTTGTAAGCATCTGCAGTCGTCATTTGCACACTATTATCCTCTCACCTGTCTGGATCTCTTGTAGCGCACGCTGCAGCCCATCCACAGTGGCCAATTGGGAATCACGTTCGGCAGCAGTCTTCTCGTAAGCATCCTTCACGGTAGCAAGCTGTTCCTCTAGATCTACAACTTTCTCGCCCAAGCTTTCTCTGACTGACCGCTCCTCCATTGCCAGCACTTCCCAGTTATGCATGGCCTCCTTAGCCTGCTCAAACTCGGATTGTAGGTAATTTTCCTGTTCAAGCAATTCTTCTTTCTCCTTAAGCCAATTTTGTTGTGATAGACTTGTGCGGTCCCGCAATGTTGAAAGCTCTTTCGACATCTCGCTGTTTGCTTGCGATAGTTGCTCTAATTCAGTAGACTTGTGTTGGGTTTCCTCCTGTAAGGTCGAGTTCTGCTCTTCCAGCTCTTCGATTCTCGATCTCGCTTGCGCAATTTCTTCCTATCCGAGGTTTAGTCAAGAGTGAACGGTGGTTCGACCTGAGGCGGTAGAACATACTGCGTCTTCCCGGAGTCTCTCTCCAAGCTGGGATTTGATCGTATTCACCCTTTCCAAGAGTTTCTGGAACTGCGTTTCCGCATGCTCCTTCTTGCTCTCAGCGTCATCTAGTCTCTCTTGCAGAGCTTCCATGTCTGCATGGTGTTTGGTTTGGATTTCCTCCAACGACTTCCGCATATCGGTCACCTCTGCGCGCAACGTATCACGATCTCTCACAAGAGCCTCGAGCCGTTCGTTCGATTGTTGAATATCAGGGCCGCCAGACTTATTCGCGTCCTCCTCGGGTTCAGCCGTATCGTGAGCGACGGAGCACTCCGGGTCCCCCGTAGCCTCCTTTGTCGAGCCGATAGTTGATCCAATCCCATTCTCATTTCCGGCAATTTCGTCATCTGTATTTTCGACGTTCTTCTCCGTGTTCGTATCACCCTGTACATCTCATGATCCAGATTTAGTGCCCGCAGGTCTTCGAGACTATGTTTATGCGGGAGTCCTTACAGTGTGTTGCATGGCCTCCGACGTCTCATGTGATTCCTTATTAGAACTATTTTCTGGGCGTTCGTCTAATTCCTTGGGCTTAGCGGCCCCCTTGTTCTTCTTCTTGTTCTTCTGTTTTGCGCCTGGTTGACAATGGTCAATCGTGAGCACGAAGGAACGCCGGAAATTAGGAGAAACGTAGGGAGGCGCGATCAACAAACGGACCTTCGGGCATTTTTCTTCTTCCGACTTCCTAGGAGGAAGGCGTTTCGTTCTAGGGCTGCTGCGATGGTCACTGCGCCGGACGGGCTTGCGTGTCGTTATGAGGTAGGGGCCATAGCTGTCAACATCGCTAGCGCAGGGAGATTGCTTCCGCCGTCCGCAGCTCTCGCTTAGGTACGCAGAACCACCTCCACGGCGCCTTACGGGATAGGCCGCAAGACTTCGACCACTACAAAGTATATCATGCCATATCGAGCAGCTTCTCGCGTGGAATTCTTCGTATATTTTAGCATATGAATTCATAAATCTTTCCAGTCTATTGTAGGGTCCTCCATTCGGTGAGGTCACGGCATATTGAACCACACCACTACGCCCGATGATATGCCCAGGATGTCCATCGATCGCACAAGTCGCGATTGCCGTTCGAACAAATGTCACGACGTTGCTGCGATTCATAGCTCTGAAGCAACTGCCCATGGAAATCCGAGTATCCGGCTTGTTCCTCTAATGACCGATCTGCACTCACCCTCTTGCTATCACATAAAGTCATCGAGGAAATCGGGATCTCGGTCCTGATTGTTGCTCGCCTGAACGTTCTCCTCGCTCATCAGGTCATCATAGGCATGATCTTTCTGCCACTTCAACTGTTCTCGTTCCCTCCGTTCCTGCTTTTCCCTCGATCGTTGCTCCTCTCTTACCTTACGTTCTTCTTTCTGCTTCTTCTTTAGATATTCATCCTTCTCCGCCTTGAGATCAGGGAACTTTTCAATACGCGTCTTGTTCAATCGGTTGACAATTGGGTTTTCCCGTTGTCGGACAAGGACCTTGCGGACCATTTTAGGATTGTGGAAAGAGACCTGGCCGGTCGCCATAGATCCATCCTTCATAAGATTCGACCATGGCGTATAGATCACAGTTATATTGTCCTTCTTGTTGCCTGCTCTGCGACTTAGTTCCCCTCTTATAGTTGGTTTTCGGCTGCTCAGTCGTCATTGCTAACCTTCGATCGAATTCGCTTTGGTAAGCTGTGCACAATCTTCCAGCAGCTGCTGCGGGATGTTGTCCCATGTTTCTCCTTCCCGGAGGCGGAGATATACGTGGGCACTGGATAAGTTATCGACGTGGAACTGGATGTAGCATCATGCTCCGGTTAGATTCTTGCGTCTCTGACACAACAGGGTGGTGAACACACCCTACAAGGTAAACACCCAGATGCAAGCGTCAGCACGCTGTTTGCGAAAGGTAGTCGGCGATGGCGCAAGGGTGACGGTACCAGACGTCCTTCTCCAACCCGTGTGTTATAAGGTCCTCATCTGCCCACGAAAATCGTCAGACTATGCGCATGTTCCAGACTAGAACATGGTCGTCGTACTCTCAAATTTATCTTTCCCAACGTAGATGAAAGCCGAGGGGTCAACGACCTTTGACGTGTAATAGTATACCATTTTATCACGATGACTTCTAATCAGGGGCCAGCACGACAAGATTAGCAGCAACGCAATAACAATGCAAGTCCGGCAAGGAAAGGTTCAGTATCCTCAAGCGATTCGACGAATGTGTGTGGAAAGATTTCTTTGCCAGAGAGCGCGGGGAACTAGATGCGGATTAGTCATGTTTGTATCCGTAGTAAAGTTAGGCGTGCTTTGACTATTTCAGTACTAGCTATGTATAGATGGGCAGAGTAGCTAGTTCTAGCAGCCAGTCACTTCGCTGCCCCATTAGAGGATTCATTCCCGAGTTTCATAATGTAGTTGCACAGGGACTCTGGTGGTCCAAATTCAAAGAAATACCTGCCTACTGCTTACACGTTGTTGGTCTATATGTAGGAATCGTGCCCTTCCAGGAGCTCTCTCAACGAACCTCTGAGCAAGTCGCCCTGTCACTCTCCAAAGATATTGCATCAGCAGTAATTGGTAGGTAAGTATCCCACTTATAATTAGCGTGTCACGCTGGACTCCAACAGGCTGCAACAGACTAAGTGGGTGTTTCAATGAGCCCACAGCAGGGAACATGGGGGCCGATGCACCGCTGGCCCTACTCATAATCCCTGGGTTTTGGCGCGTAATTCTCAGGCTTGGTCAACTATTCTCGGCGCTCATCAAGGCGCATCCGTTCGTCAGCGGCAAGGGGGTTGGCTAGCTGACCCAGCCTAGAAGCAGTCACCCATCAAAATCAAACATAGCCTGTGGAATGAGTTGTCGAGACGCAATGCCCTTGTTGTCACCACAGATTCACTGTGGGTATGGACACTCCGTGCATACAGTCGGGTACCGGGATGAATTTACACAGAATGGGCGGGAAAGTCCACTCTTGTCATAGAATGTTTGATCGGACGCTGGCGGTAACCCATAGGCTTAGAATCCCAAGCGTGAGCCTACACCTGAGATAGGTTTGACAAGTGGCAGGCATGAGATATAGAGGCTGGTCCGAATGACGGATGACCCAGATAGGGGAGAAATGCACCATTCATATCCGTGTATAACATTGAATACTGCGCTTGCTTATGCAGCAAAGACAAGGAGCATCATGCTTCCGGTGGTAACGGCCATACATCGGTCTGACAGAGATGGAGATACAGTGTCAACGTGTCAGTATGGTGATCCTGGCGCATAGGTTCTATTCGAAAAGAAACCAAAATGCAGGGAGAAAGGGTGGGACAAACGGTGGCTCACGGCATCAAGTGCAGAGGCGCGCACACACCCAGGGCATGGTGGTTTGCTTCCGCAGTAGGAGTGGGAAAGAAAAACAAATGGGTGGATTGGTTAAAGATAGATCAAGTCGATCATAGCTCTAATGGATGGATAGTTGTAATCTTAGAAGAACGAGGGTCCGTTACTCAGCCTTCCCTATGTTAACTAGTTGGATATGAAGGTTGTCTTAGCGATACAACGGGCCGGGTAGGTACTAGTAGTACTAGCACGACTACTGTAAGTGACTAGCCGAAACGGTGAGCTGCTGCCGCAGGATCCTGTCTGCATGAGCAATTGCAACGGAGTAAGTACCTCATAGTAATAGTAAGTAGTGCTTGACGGAAGAATGATGCATATTTTCTAACCAATAGGAGGATTGTGGTACGATTCAAGGGATCTTGCTGGTGTATACGTTGCGAATACACATTGTGTACATCTGAAGCGAATCACTGACGTTTTTCCCTTTTCCCAACAGCGAACCTCTCAGAGATGCGAGTCATTTCACCTCCTAGCCTAAAACTCCATACCGCCGCCGACCGATTCGCCTTGGAGCGAACCACCCAGGACCCACCCAGCTCATGCACCGGACCGTACGGACTTGTGGGCGAGTCGTACGTATGTCCGTCCCAGAGCACACTTGACGGAGAGTTTGAACTCTTTTGAGATTTGTGGAAGCTGTCCGAAACTTTCAAGTCACTTTCAAGTCCACATCCACACCCATTATCAATCATTACCCATGATAGGAAAATCGAAAATGAGAAAATTTAAACTGAAATGTTTAGAACTGAAAGTTAAAATAAAAAGGGAGATAGAAAGGAAGAGAATAGGGAAACTTATACACGTTCATGAATATTTTATTTCCTTATTTCGATCTACCTTACTTCTTAGTCCCATTTGATTGGTGAAGTTGGACAATATCCCCGAAATGCCAGTCACACATGACCACGAAAAATCTCTTCTCACTGGACAACGTCTAAACGAAATCGGAAGAACCGAGCTAGGGGAATTTTTAAGTTTTTTGTCAATTAACTTTTTTTTCTTTTCTTTTTTTTCCTTTTCCGCCCTTGCTAACCACGTAGACCTCAGACAAGATGGCTCCAAAGTCAGATACTTTCAACCCCATTTTACTCCGTAACGAGACCCAGTCCATCCACGGAACAGAAATACCCTCAGTTGCTGGATTTGTGCAAGCGCCGGCTGTTCCTAGACGGATTACCCGTAGTTACCGGACGACTACCACCGATCCGTACGTAACCAGTTCCCAATCTCGACTAGTGACAACCAACCAGCGGCAGCCGCTCGTTTCGGCCAGGTTCGCAACCCTACCAGTTTTACCCTACCGTGGAGCCCGAATCTGACACTTTTCCCATCGCGAGGAAAACCGTTACGCCAAGGGCTCAATACTAGAAGCTGCTACAGCGGGTGAGCCCGGACGAAACCCCACCTGCCACATGGCCATACAAATCAAAGCAAATGGGAGGGAAATTAAAGAGGGTGAACGCGAGGAGAGAAGAAGGGACAGGTGGAAAAAGGGTGACCGAGAGAAATAGAATCCCCACCACTGCTGCTTCTCTTGCCTTCCTGAGGTATCTGGATACATACACTGGTGTTCGACGTGCTCCAGACGACTTCCGGAAATAAGTACATCAACGGATATCTTTGCGCGATAGGATATTTTTCATTTTCATTTTTTTTTCTCTGGTTTCTTTTCTCCTCGGCTCTTTCACAAGGCACGAGGACTCGGAACAGATCAGATCTATTAATTTTAACCAAATCCGATAAGCTGAAATGGACACAAGTCGATCAGTACTAATCACTTTTCAGAAGTGGCACTCCTGCATAACAGACGCAATCCATAAAGAGTCCATCCAATGGTTTGAAAATTTGAAGGGAAGGAGAAAAAAGCGGTAAAATGGGCATGGGAATATGGAAGAAGGACGCATCAGAAGAAGACAATAATAGTAAAGGATGGAAGACTAAGAGGCTTTAGTAGTTAATACTTACTGTGTAAGTAGTATGGGAAAATTGGCCCGAAAGGAATAAAAGAAGGTGGGGAGAAAAAGAATAAGAAAGGAAAGGTAGTAGATAGCAAAATAAAATAAAATCAAATAAATGAGGATGATGATTAAAAATAAAAAATATTGATGAGGAAAAAAAGAAAAGAGAAAAACGGGAAAACGGAAAAGGAAAAAGAAAAAGTTTTTTTGGGTTTTTTTTTTTTTTTTTTTTTTTTTTTTTTAAAAATAGAAAATTAAATAATAAAATAATTGGGGGGAAAAAAGGGAAAAAGGAAAAAAAAAAAGAAGAGAAAAAAGAGAAAGAAACCCTGTAGTATTAAAAGTAAAACTGGAAACACATATGCAAACATGGATGTTCCCCCGGCGCCAGCACGTCCATTCATTTAACAACATTAATATAATATTCCATGTTCATAGAATTACTCTAAATGTATTAGTCTATTTGGCTATTCTTACTATGATTGAATCATTAGTATTATTCTCCCTTGTTAGAGACTCGATCCACGATTACCCAGCAAACCCCCTACTCCACCTAGACGATGTTAAATGGGGAAGGTCGGAGCTTGCCAAAGACAGTCCGCCAGAAAAAATTTTGATGAGAAGCTCAGGGATCATTCTATTTCTACCCCTTTCTTCTTCATTCATTAAACTGGCTTGTCCTCCCTGAGCAATCCAGCATTCTGCAATACCCGCGGGATTCTTCTGTCTTCGTTTTCCTACACATCCTTCAACAAAAAAACAAACCAAAGAGATCGAATATCTGCCTCGAAACTCCAAGTGCAATTACCCCAAATGGCTGGAACAGCAAAACCTCCATCCTCTGCCGAAGTGCAAAATGCCTTAGCCCGCGCCAGAGACTCGGAGTCTGGTCCTGACGCTGCTACGATGGCTATACTCGATGGTTCCGTCAAGGGTCTATGGGAACGTATCAAGGCTGAGCCGGAATACGTGCTCAATCAAAAAGAATTCGCCTTGTTCAACTACTTCATATTACGCTATAAAAAGGAGCCTGCGTGTAAAAGAGCCGTGGAGCAGTTTTGGAACCATTATCGCGCAGACGAGGCCACCAACGGAAGCAAGAGTTAGTGACTGTAGTGCGCTCGTCAAATAGCCGTTCCTATGCCTACACCACCTTCAGGCTCAAGGCTCCGAGGGAGGGAGGGAGAGAGAGAGAGAGAATTGTGGGCGCCAAGCCATCATTGAGCTTGACAGTCGAATCAAGCAGATAATCTTGCGCTCAGAAGCAAAGCGCTCAGCAATTCCCCGTCAACGACCTCGTCGTCTCCTAAGACAAACAAGAAACTGAGATGTGACAGGAGGGCGATGGAGTGAACCTCGATGGCCGCAACATATGCATCTTGAGCCCTCTGAAATCCGTGATTCGGGGCAGTTCCAGTCACAGTTTTAATGTCCAGTCATTCTGTCGGGGTTCGATTGATTGACTATGCATTCTGATCCCCAAGGCCGAGCTGGTTGGTCCGATACCCGAGCGGACGAGCACACGGGTATAGCCGTCTCGACTGTATCCGTCAAAGACGACCGAACTGTCGAAAATTGCCAGTTTCAAACATTGGCATTTCATGCTCATTTACGTTGCGTATTTCATTTCTTGCCTATCTCCTGTGTGGTTTCTATGGAACAGATTTATCTTTTGTTTTATCTCTCTCTTTTTCCAATTGTCACTGTTTTTCTGCTCCGACTTTATCATGTCTTTCTTTCTTTCTTTCCTTTTTTTTTCCTCTTCCGCTCTTCGATCTGCTGCTTATTGAACAAGCTATGGGATCATTTCTAAAATAAATTGTTTCATCATCACAACTCAGGGAGAGATCATCACTGACCTGGACCCTCTCCTGTCCGTGCCCCGCACTTACCCCTACGGGGACTTCTAGGTCCCTCGGCTGACGTGTTTTCTCACGTACATAACCACCAGCAAGTGGTGCTGTTCTGAATTCTAACACGGTGAGCTGCGCCGGGGACCAGCACATAGGGCATCTTTCTGAAATGGAGTAGCCATTCCCAGGCTACTTCTGGGTGTACATTTAAAAGCTTACTCCTGGGGGGGAAGGAGGATGAGGAAAGGAGTTTGGGTGAGGGGGGAAGGAATAGAAATAAAAGCAAGGCACGTCTGCACTTTTACCACCACCAAGTCTTGACTCGGAAAGCGGAAAAAGAGATTTGTCGTTGGGAAACGGACTCTTCCGGAGGGCAGTTAGTTTACTTTACGTACCTTTGTTAACATGACACTAAGAGGCTCCCGCGTACGATAGCCATGCAGCTACACCTTAGATCCGCTGTAGTTCTGCACGAGGCCATAAGCACGAAAAGCCCTCACTACTGCACCTGAGCGCCAATGGTTTGCTAAAGGAAACTTATATACAAATTTGTAGGTACAGTAGTAGTAAGGTAGTCATGTAGAACATACTTTGTACTAATAAATGTTCTAAACTTAGAAGTATGGGTGAATATTACATAGCGAGACCTGGTAACGAAATATAAGCATGACTAGAAGTAGAATCGAAGGTGGAAAGTTGATGAACACAGAGAATACTATGCAACAATTAATTGCTTTTAAACTACTTAACTGGTAATGATGACGGCCCCTCCAAACTCTTTCAGGTTTTTCCCTTTTCCCTCACTCAAATTCAGCCCATGACCTCCTCTGGGGCGGGTTTTGGGTTTCCCTTGGCGCCCGCCCCCTCTTCCCCCCGGTCAAGTACCACACACTACAGTTATACACTATACCACCCCCGGTAAGTGGGGGCGGGGAGAGGGGGGAAAGCGGCCAACTGGGAAAAGAATTAAAAGAAATTGGCCGTAAATTGAACAAAAGAAATAAAATTAAACCAAAAATATAAATAAAATCTAAACGAATCGAGGAACTCCCGCTGTCCAGGTTGCATCCAAATCGGGCTCCCGCGCGGACAGGGTTCCGCAGGCCTTGTTAGTGGGTGAATGGGCACCAGTGGATTTCCGCGATCCGGTTACTTACGAGTAACTGGCTAACAGTATAAATTAGTCTGTACCTTAGTAGATTGCACCTACTAGCAACCTGGTATTGCGTAGTACCGGAAGTGCCTCTTGCTCTCCTTGATTGAATAAGAGCTACTACTCGCTGGTCCTATTAGGTCCCGAGCGGCTACCAACTACAGCAACTAGCTGGGTGTAGTACCTGGGTATCACATGTGGGTGGTTGCATCCTCAGCGGCTAAATGAATGGTGATACAAGCAAAATGTACCTAGTGTATGTGTTCGCTCTTAATTGTCAACAATGCCGGTAGTACTGGCTCAGGCACCATAGCTAACGTAGCCAGGGCCCTACGCGCGAGAGAAACTAGCTATAAATATCTGCCTACCATACGTGCTATGGAGCCCACTTATGATATTATCTAGCAATATCTACCTATATACATGCTATGCGCCCACGTCAATCGTTGAAGAATAAGCCGCCTAACCCTGCAGAACGAATCATGGGTATGTCCCGGACATGTCGAGTACGTAGGTGCAGACACGATAGCTTTGCCAGCAGAAAGTCCCTGAGCAATTTACTGCTAGGCAGGAAAGGCACCACCAAGATCCTCTGAGTGGGCCTAACAATAAATGTTTACTAAAGGGGCAAACGGGTAGAAGCAAGTATGAACCTGGTAATGTGGAAAGGTAATCGCAGGCACACAAGTCTAGTCTCGGTCCTAGCAGACTGGAATGATGTTTGCACGCTTGCCCGGCGCTACCCTTCATAGTCCGGCACTTTATGAATAAGATACACGGCTTCCAATACCTTCCTTATCTTGTTCCGATGCAAGGCGGCATGCTTCTGGCCTTGCCGTGACTGATTGACCTAGTTTCCCAAGCAATTGAAGCCTATCAGGATTGTCTGTTTCCAACTGAGAGGCCTCCCAAGTACATTAAGGTATTTCCCATTTGTCCCAAGAACTTACCGTAAGCCCCAAGATATCGTTGAAAACCGGTATGCTTTCCGCTACTACCCAGGCCAAAAACCATAGCGTCGCGCATACAGCGACCCAGGGATATTGCACCGAAGGAACGTGAGTGCATGGCATTCCTGCCGTGAAATATCCGCAAGTATATTGATTTCACCGCGACATGGGCGTTGACGACACCTGCTATCACGATCTGACCTATGCGATCAGTTGAACGACAAGGGAGCACGGCTTTGGTTGGGCTGCCTACCGTTGGGATTGCGATACCATATGCTATCTTCTTGAAAGAGTGGACTGACTGAATTGAGGGACGGGGAAGCAATATCCCTTCCACCCAATACATATAGTACGATAGCTGTCACTGTGTAGAGCGTCATCTCACTCACTTGCAATAACGCTAGTGCCCTTGGGTAGTCCTTCACATCCCGGAGCTCTGAAAAGAAGGCAAAGAAGGCAACATATCCAGCATACGCAAACACAGCGTTTGCAATTGCAACCATTATGTCGTGAAAAGTAGGCGGTAATGATGTCTGGATAGGGCTTGTCTTAGATGCTCCAACCATGCTAACCAAAACTACTCCGAGGACACTAGCAAAGCTGATTGAAGATAGAAATGACAGGCTTTCGAGACGTCGTGGAATGGTGAAGACGATTGAAAGCAATCCTCCAGCCACGGAAAATATAACTATACAGCCCGAGTAGCCGGTGAGAACGCTCACCATGATAGAGAAGGTCAGTATATGGCTAGCCATTATGAATGTGAAGAAGATAAGCTGAGCAGCGCCCAGGATTTCGAAACCAGTCCTTCCCCACAGTATGCTTCCGGCATCAGCCATGCTATGTGCCTGAGCATAGCGACGCTTGAACTCCCCAATGACTAGTCCTGTGTAGGTCGTCAGTACCCCGACGCCAATGATAACGGCAATTCCACTGCGGAAAGTTAGCTTGTGCAGGAATAATGGCTAGTTTCTCGGCTAAGGAACCCGTACGGGAAAAGATCCAATGTAGCTAGCACTTTGGGGAGAGCCAGAATTCCAAGAGAGATGGTCTCTGCTATCATGACTGGTATCTTCAGGACTCCATGTTGTAACATGCATGTTTCAACCCGAGATTACTCACGCATTCCAGCCTGCCTGGAGGTTAATTAGCTCCTAGTAGTTCTCAGAGACCGCCAGCGCACTCACCACCAAGTCAATGTCTTGTACTTCACCTCCAGCCCGGTCTCGTCTCCAACAAGATCCTCTCCCTCACAGTTACTGTGTGGCTGGGACATTCTAGTAGGACGGTCGCTCTCTGCCTTCCAGAATTCTAGGCTATTCTCACACGGCCATGAGGTCGCAACCCCGGAACGCCTCTGAAAAGCGTGTCATGTCATGATTCGGTGAGTGTACAGTATGGACTGTGACAAAGAGGTGAATATGTAATACCCTGGCGAAAGCCTCAAACGACGTTCAAAAATCGTACGTTCGTTGCAGGAAATCTGAACCTTTAAGCACTATTGCAATTTAGGGTAGAAGAAGGCTCATTCCCTGAGAAAAGTGGATAGAAATAAACTTGTCGAGCAGGCGTTCCTTCCACGACCAGTCCGCATTCATGAACTTGCCCGATCTGTTTCCTTCTGTTGTTGATAGTTCACCACCACATGCATTGAGTGCTCATGGCTTGACCATAACGCAGCTGGAGCCTTAGGCCTAGATGGTATATGTCTCCCCTATCTGACATGTTTCAGATTATTTCACTATATGATCCCACTTACTCCAAGGCAGGCCGAGTACATACATTATAGTATTGCCCGTCGGCGCCATTCTTAGGTATAGAGAAGCCGAGACATATCATCACTTTGGTTGAGAGAAAATTACACGAGGAAAATCTTTAACCAGACCCATCATACATTATGAAATCAAAGTAATACATCGAAAATATTTATACATAAGGCAACACTCTATAGCTCATGACACTTCTATTTGTTTGCCGGGGACTCGGGGTGTATCAGCTTGTTGGAATCTGACGAGGGAATGTCACTACTGAGCACATCCGCTGGGGGATCTAAAAGTTCATTAGTCAGGTCTGTCGCGAATGAGCTGTTCTAGCGCAGGGCTTACTCACCGGACCGAGCAAAGGCCTTTCTTTGTGCGATATCCAGATCCTTTACTCTACCCCCCTCGACATCCTCTCGCGTCATGCTCAGGAAAGCCTTTGGCAGACCCATAGAAGATAGAAACTGGACGCTTTCCTTCCATTCAGATTCTTTCCGGTTCTTATCCCACTTAAGCTCCTCACCCATGAGATCGATGATGTTAGGAAGGGCTTCGAGGGCTGCTTCGGCGTTCAAAAATGCCAGCCGGGTTCTGCGAGCAATGACATCGGTGGCAGTCTGTGCATATTCGTGGCGCACAGCATACCTGATTTCACCATCAACGAAGGGGTATAGCCTGGAGATGCGTTGGCCGCGGACAGGGAAGCGAGCATTTGTGGGGGAAGACAAAGCCGCAACCTGCCAGGCTCGGTCACCATATGATTCCGTTAGATGCTTAGCCACATCCACCTCGAGTCCGAAATGCTGGATGAGGTTGATGAAAAGGGTTTTGGAGAAGCCGTGGGCACCAATCAAGCGGACCTGGTGGGTTTGGCAAGATCCGTCAAGGACAGCACCGTCGGAGACCAAGCCACTGCCGCCAACACCACTGATATCCGGAGCGCCGGTTACACCGCGAGGCTTCAGGCCGAATACATTGATGGCCTCATCCACCGCCTCTTCAGCCATCTGCCGGTAAGTGGTCCACTTGCCACCAGCACAGGTCAGGAGTCCGGAGGGGGAGACAGTAATGAGATGGTTGCGGACCAGAGCCTCGGAACTCTTTACCTTAGGGTCACGCACCAACGGACGAATTCCAGCCCAGGCAGCAAGGACATCACTCCGCTCAATATTGATGTCTGGAGCCAAGTAATTGCGGACTTCGGAGATGATCCAATTGATATCCTTCTCAGAAGGCTGGGGCTGAGGGGTGATCTCGGTCGGCTGATCCGTTGTACCAGCAATGGTGTTCCCTTGCCAGGGAAGGAAGAAAATCACACGGCCGTCCGACGTGGATGGGTCAATAAGGCCCATATTTGAAGGGCTGTAATAGCCAGGTAAGATCACATGAACACCTGAGCTAGGGGCTACGATCTCCTTGATGCCGGGTTCATCCATATTTCTGATCGAGTCGGTAAAGGGGCCAGTTGCGTTTATGATACCTTTTGCCTTGATCGTGAACTCCTCCGCCTCTTGTCCATCTCTTCCGGGGATAAGATCCTTGACACGAGCGCCGTTCAGCTTCCCAGAGGAGTCCTTTTCCAGGCCAGTAACTTGCATGTGATTGACAACAGTGGCTCCGTACAACGCAGCTGTCATCGCCAGCGAAACATTCATTCGAGAGTCGTTGTGGGCACCATCTAGTAGACGCACCGTTAACGAGGGGTCATCTAAATGACGGGGGTAGGGTGGGGTAAAGAGATTGCATACCATAGTATACCATGGCTCCAAACAGGTTGTCCTTTCTTAACATAGGGAAGGCATCGATGGCCTTGCTCTTGGTGAGGAAGTAGGAGCTTTCGATGCCTTCAGACCCAGCCAAGTAGTCATAGAACTTTGTTCCCGCCCAGAAATAGGGTGCCTGCCACCATTTCTGTAGCGGGACCATGATAGGAAGCCAGCTAGACAGATGAGGGGCTGTGTTCAAAAAATACTTTCGCTCCCTCAGAGCCTCCTTGACTAGCTTGTACCTAAGGTAGAACGAGAGGCATTCAGTATATCACGGTCGACACGCAAACAAGAGATTGGAGAGGGACGGGGAAAAAAACTCACTGGTTGTAATCCAACTCCCAAACAGCCTTTTCCAGGTAACGAACACCACCGTGAACGAGTTTTGTGCTCTTGCTGCTTGTTCCAGCGCTGAAGTCGTCCCGCTCAACAATGGCAACCTTCAACCCTCGTGTGGCAGCATCAAGGGCAATTCCCGATCCAGTGGCACCACCGCCAATGACAAGCAGATCATACTCTTCTGAGTTGTCTCCACCGGAAGAGCGCTTTAAGTCTTGGATTTGCTCGAGGCGGGATTTGATATTGGGAAAGCTCGGAGGCACGAGCTTGCCTTCATGATAGCCCGGCGGCGGAACCGCGGGGGCTTCTGAACCAGGGATATTGCGGGGACGATAGGAGATGTAGAGAACTCCGGCTCCTGTGGCAGCCGCCAGCGATGTATAGAGCAGAGGTCGCAGAATCCTACGAGACTGGCGGGAGGCCATTGTACCCAGGGGGTCGAATGTTCAGAGAAAATAGGATCTGGCGAGCTAGAGCGAATTGGTGAATTGATGGTACTAGAGGGTGGGTTCCCTATAGCGCGCGCTGTATGTTCTATACTCAAAAAAAGCTCTGCACACACGCGCACACAAAAAGTCAGCCGGATATGGTCTCGAGAACTGCGGTGTAACCGATACGCAACAAGGTAGGCGGAGAATTGGAGCGGCATACCTTCCACGGAAAATTTTTGACTTGTGAGTGTCAATTGGGGGGGTAAAGGGCAAAAGAGAGATAGAAAAGAGAAACACGGGACACTTGCCCGAGGAAAAGTGGTAAGTGTAGAATCGGAGAAGGGGAGGAAAGAAACGGATTAGAATACTATACGTATATACTGACGTACGTATGAAGAGGAAGGCAATGAGGCAGGTACGAGATGAGAGGAGGAATGGGGAATGGGAATGGGATTTCGTGAGGAACGAGGAGGAGAGTAAAGAAGAGAGAGGAGAGGGCGAGGTTAAGGATGCGAGGGATGTAGGAATGCCGGATCAGCTGCCAAGTTCGAATGGTTTCTTGTACGGGGGAAAGGAATGGGAATGAATTAGTATTTACATACTCTACAGGCCTAATTCAGGGCCGGGTAACCTTCCACCTTCTGGAATTTGGGGGAGGCTGCGTCATGAGCTCAATCCGGGAAGGAGCTGGATTGGAAGGAGAAAATAATGGGGGCGGGTCGCTATGACGGTGTCGCAGCGTCAATCAGGAATGTCCCACCAATCAGCATCTCGGCAGCCCCGGGCGTGGATGGGCCTGATCACTGATTTGCCTGCCGCGCCCGAACTCCGGAACCGCATGTGACCAGAAAAGATTTTGTCTCTTCTGTAAATGTTCCCTTGGGGGGAAAGGAACCGATCCACTTGGGTCTTTTTATGGCTTCCAGACTCGCGGTCTATCAGGTTTTACCCTATCTAGATAGTCCTTACTATTGTCAACATCCACCTTGTTCCTATTTCTTTCTTTATCCTCCTTCCCCCCCTCCTCCCCTTAGTTGACCTACTCCCCTTTTTACCTTCCCTCTTCTCCATAGTCTGAAATTGCGGAGGGCGGAGTAGCTATCAGTTGATTCTTTTAGAATTTAATTCTAGATCGTTTATTGATTTCTTGTTTATTCACTTATTGCACAGAAAGATATATACAATGAATACTCTTTTTTAAAGGTAAAAGCAGAAATGAAAAGAATAGGAAAGAAGAAAGGAATTGGCCTGGGGTTACTAATGGAGCAACCTACCTAGGAACGGGGGATCAGGATTAGTACAATCATTCGCAGTGCGGACTACCTATCTAGGTAAGTCAAACTAGTGTTTTTGGAAATCACGCGACCTATCCACGTTTTCATTGCGGATCTTCTGTCTATTCTAGGATACCTAGACCTGTCTAAAGTTTTCTGTGCTGGCACAATGATCATCCCTGGTTGGATCTCAACTTTTATATGTGTACAATACATACAGTAGGTGCCACATAACACAACAGCATATATACATACTACCTGCTAGTTATTGCATCGTATTGCAAAACGAAAGTATGGGAGAAGGACAATATCAATCAACCGCATATAAGATTTGGTTGTGCTAACTGCTTACTTGGCTTATTATCTATACAGTGTTTCTCTTTATGCGATGCTTTCTACAATACTAAGACAGGAAAGGGGGAGTGAAGGAGTGAATGATAATGATCATTCATCGTTGTCTAAGTACAGCAGTCAACAAAGAAAGGGTTAAGTGTCCTTGTTTGTCGGGGTTCATTTACTCCACTTGCCCAGCCCAGCCCAGACCCTGAGCGGGTATAGACTGAATACATACTGTACTGTACATATACTCATAACATACTTTGAAATAACATAATTTGATAGTTATCTAAAGGACTTTGTAGTAACATTGGAATATTATGTAATCAAGTATACTTTTTTCGATTGATGTACTGTGAACAACTGGGCATAGATTAGTAGAGCGTCGCCGGTGGTCACACACTCCCCACCTGAATGGCGTAATCCCTAATATTTTGGTGGATGCGCTCGGGTAAGTAGGCACCTTGGAGATGAATGCGCTTCCCTCGCTTTTCCATGGAAGCAAGCGGGACTTGATTTCTTGGTTGGGGGTGTACATAAACTAGATATATTTCACCTGCTATGCGAGTGCGAGTCCCACCGCCCTACGTCAACCTTCCCAGTCCTTGACAGTGTCTAAACTCCGCACCCGACTAGATCAGTTTTGTACTGTGACCATGCTTCCCCTTCCATCCAGCTTTTCGTGTCGATCATGATAGAATCCTCCGCTCCGCTATACCTCTTCCTATTCTTTTGGTGGAGCGCGCAGTGATTCAATGCGACCGGTCAGCCAGTTTACCAACCCAAACATCCACCTGATTTTCCCGATCGGCTTGGAGAGTGGGTCAAAGGCCGTCGCATTTGTCTGTGCATAAGTAGAAAGTAAATAGACTAGTAGTAGTAGACTACTAGATATCTCACACCCACTGCATTTATTTTTGTCTCCGCAAATAACTCCCGCTGCCAAGGAGGACTCATGCAATCTAGTCTTCAATAGACCCTGTCCCTTCTTCATCGGTCAGTAGCAACTCCGTACTTAAAGCCACACCATCAATCATCCAGTAATCCAGTAATCCAGTTAAGTTCTCCTTTCTTCTGAAGCACATGACCGTACTCATATCGACCTATACTTTTTTCCCTTGTTTTTTCTTCTTCTTTTTTTTCTTGGCATCAGATAAGACGATGTTTCTTGTCCAGAAATACACCTTTGAAATGTTGTGGACAAAAAAAAATGATGTCCAATTCTTGTGGAGATAGAGACAAATAGATGCGAGCATTAGAGAAGAAGGCAGCCAATGAGAGTAGGGAAAGAAAAGTGAAGAAAGGGGTGAGGGAAGAAGAGAAGGAAGATATACTAATTCATATCCTCAAACCTACAATTGATAAGGAGTAGTAGTATATTCAGTCAAAACACTGTCCTCTCATGTTCTGAAATGAACTTGTACAAGACTTAAATCGACAAAACAATGGCTTGGCAATGCTAGGCCGCCCACTGCGTGGCGGTACATTCTGCTTTATATGGACAAGTATAATCACGGCCAACCTCCGATATCAAAGTTAAGTAATAACTACTAGTAAACATCTACCGCAGTTGGTACAAAGGAAGGCCAGATCTATGCCTAAACTACCATGACAGCAACCGAGGTCCATGTCCCAAGGGATATAGAGTATATCGACTGTATTGACCTTGAGAAGCGGAAACGTTCCGGCTGCGGAATCTTCTCGGTTGCTTCCACTCCTCCCTTGACTCCCAGCCCCAGGTTTTTGGACACCGGAACCTGGGGTAGAATTAAGTTAGCTACCAATGTCCCTCACTTCCTGGTGACGGAAATGTTCCTTCCTGTGAGAGGGGAGGGATGGCGACTCCGGGACGTATCACACGTGCACCAAGGCATATGATGCTGCGTTATATTCAGTCGACTTGCCCAGCGTCAGCTTAACATCTTCCTTACCTACTTGGCTACTATATCAAGAAGCAAAATCACATTTCGTCCATCATGGCCATCGCCGCGGTTCTTTCATTCCTACAGCAAAGCATTCTCGAATCTCCGTTGCAGTCATTGGCCGCAACCGCCTTCATTGTCCCAATAGTCTATATTATCATCAACGAATTTATTCGAGCTTCCGCCCGAGTACCTGGTCTTAAAGGCCCCCGTGGTCTTCCTCTGATCGGAAACCTTGCTCAAATTCGAAAAAATGCCGCCGAACAATATCGCATATGGTCTAAAACGCACGGGCCCGTTTATCAAATCCAGCTGGGAAATATCCCAGTTGTTGTCGTGAATTCGGCGGCGGCGGCAAAGGTTCTTTTTGGACACAATGCACAAGCTCTGAGTTCAAGACCGGAATTCTATACTTTCCACAAGGTAAGCTCCAGGCAGCATGCTTCCCTAGGCTTTCTCTATCGTTGCTTCCATTTCTTTCCTTTGTCAGTGGATTATAGCTCACAATCATGCATCAGATTGTATCAAATACTGCTGGCACAACAATCGGGACTTCCCCATATAGTGAGTCACTTAAGAGACGCAGAAAAGGTGCCGCTTCAGCCCTCAATCGTCCTTCTGTAGAATCATACATCTCGCACCTAGATGTCGAGTCCAGATCTTTCGTGGATGAGCTCTACAGGTATGGCAATGGTGGCGAAAAACCAGTGGATCCTATGCCAATGATCCAGCGTCTAAGCTTGAGTTTGTCCTTGACTCTCAATTGGGGCGTACGTGTGGCCTCTCAAGAAGAAGACCTATTTGCCGAGATCACCCACGTCGAGGAAGAGATCAGCAAGTTCAGAAGCACCACTGGCAACCTGCAGGACTACATTCCTCTTTTACGACTGAACCCCTTCAATAGCAACTCAAAAGTTGCCAAAGAAATGAGGGATCGACGTGATCGGTATCTCACCGCTCTAAACCGAGACTTGGATGACCGCATGGAGAAAGGCATTCATAAACCATGCATCCAGGCAAACGTTATTCTCGACAAAGAGGCAAAACTGAACTCCGAAGAGCTCATATCAATCAGCTTGACCATGCTTTCTGGAGGTCTCGACACAGTCACGACCCTTGTGGCTTGGAGTATTGGCCTTCTTTCCCAGCGGCCTGATATCCAGGAGAAGGCCGCAAACGCGATACAAGATATGTATGGGCATGACCAGCCCTTGTGTGACCCCATGGATGATCAGAAATGTGCCTACGTTGCAGCCCTGGTTAGAGAATGCCTAAGGTACAGCTTGAGAACTGGACCCCAAGCTCAGAGGTTCGGTACGCTAAGTGGTTATATACAGGTATTTTACAGTCCTTCGTCTCGCGCTTCCCCGGACTTCGATTAGAGACGTGGTGTACAATGGAATAGTGATCCCTAAGGGCACAGTATTCTTCTTGAACTCCTGGGCCTGCAACATGGGTAAGTTGTCGCTCGATGAAAGATCGTAATACCTTGCAATTATCGGCTAATGCATCATCACGTAGACCCCGAAGTCTGGAGCGACCCCGAGGAGTTCCGGCCTGAAAGATGGCTCGAGCAACCAGACGCTCCTCTTTTCACCTATGGCATGGGCTATCGCATGTGCGCTGGCTCACTACTCGCGAACCGTGAACTTTATCTTGTCTTCATGCGCACACTAAATGGTTTCCGAATCGAGCCACTTGGTGAGACTGACTGGCATCCTGTTCGGGGCAATTCAGACCCTACAAGTCTCGTGGCAATCCCCCAAAAGTATAAGGTTCGATTCGTTCCAAGAGATGAAAAAGCACTCGCTACAGCACTGGGCCGGTAATTGGCAAATCTGATTTACGGTCTGTATTGGGAGGGTGAAGCGAAGAACTGATGTTGTGTATGATCTTTATACTGGACGGAAGCTGGGTATAGTAATTAGCTTGTGCCTCTGAACCTCGGTACACTACGAAGGGGAGAATGCTCACCTCAGTGGAGATGCTAGGAACATCAGTCGGGCTTGATTATTCTATAGCGATCCCCTATGTCCGGGCATTTCCTTCAATTCCTCCGAATTGTGGACCATGTAGGGTTGTAGCTTAGCAATACTCCTGTTGGAGTTATCGCAGATTATGCTTGGTGTCGTCGCCATACGCATGCGATGACAGCTTACGATAGTTGCAATTGAAGGACATAAAACCGGGCTTCTGCTCCGATCTGCCGCGGATCGGCACCTTGATGCTATTGTATGACTTTCATTTCTGGTCCCACTTACTTTCCATCACTGTCTCCCCTATGTACTTTCCTCCTCTGGCCCATCCCACCCCTTGCCCGTCATTGCTTATTCCCTCTCCCACTACCTTCCCTTCCTTTCAATGCCTGACTGATTTCTGTGCTTCCTCACGCCGAATGCCACACTGCAGGCTTATTTGGGTATGCATGTTGCCCAGGAAGACCTGATGGTATAATTAATGCTGGGTATATAGCTCTCGTAACAAAAAAGATATGACAATCAATGAACGGTTCTCTTGGGAATGGGAGGTGATACTGGATTAGGCTGTTGAAGTGCGAGGGGTCCGTGGGTTTTGTCCACAATAGCCACCAATGCTTTGATACAATGGTGCCCATGGAGAATAGATCTCGGGAATAGATGTCTATGAGGGCTGTAATCATACGGCGCTAAGATGCGAAACGTCTTTTCAAGTCACGGACGTGGTCGAAGCTGCATGCATAATCCCGTAACTCGTTTTTGAATTGACTTGCTACCACGAGGGACCGTGATGAGCTGCTCTTGACCGACGACAGTGATGTCTGCGAAGAAGATGGCGATAGTACCCTTTTGGGGTATTGGGAACCAGGTGATCCCGCTGGCGCCGTTCCCATTGTTGCGAGGGATCCGGTCACAGAACGCCCAGCTTGGCTGGGGGCCCTAGTTGGTTGTGGACACACGATCGCATGAGGTGCTGTCGCCTCCTTCGAGACGGCGTCCAGCTCAGCCAGCCTGCAGGCTTGGGAGCAATATGGTTCCCCTAGGGTCTGACGGTCACAAGCAAGGCAGAAGTCAAGCGACCATTCAGTTGCCATATTGACCGGTCCTCACAAAGAGGCCACAGAAGGGGATGGCGTTGGGGACAAGGTGGAAGAACTTTGTATATATGGGCTGTGGAGTAACTCAAAACAGGACTAGGGACTGTTGTCCCGATGACATGTCACCAAATATGGGGTAATCGAATGCGCTTCGAATAGTGATATTTGAGGGTTGCTAGTCGGCCTCTTGTTCCGTGAATGAGAATGGTTACTACTGCCGATAATGCTTTTTCTTTTTGGTTAGCATTGAGTGACTTCCTGTTCGAGTGGGGGGAGAGCGTGAGAAGAGCTAGCAGATGTGATGGAAAATTGGTGTGGAAGTTCATTATATATGAAAAGGTTAAGGCCATCACACCATAATAATCCACTTCGGTCTCATTCTTGCGAAACAGGAGGGTCACGCAAGGCCACCCCACTAGCAAAGGGACCTACCCAAGGATATGAGGGTAGATCCAAGCCGGTGGATCCAGATCTATGTCAGATGACAACCGATGAGATATCTGAGGTGAATGGTAGGGTTATTGTTGTGATGGAATGGGAAGGGATACGGAACGGGTTCTTCATCCAGTGTGTTGTAGCATAGCCTCCAGGTCACCCAGTCCGCACAGGGCCAAGTCAGACGTAAAGAACGGGGAACTATTTTGGGGGGGGGGGGACTGGCGTTTACATATTAGTATATTATATATATCTATATGGGTAGCCAAATGCCCCAAAGACGCCAGTGACATGCACACAGCCCCTTTAGGGGAAAGAGGGGGGAGCATGGCCCAATCTCCAGGAGGCACGGCGTTGTAGGGTTTACGGGTAGATTGTCGATACTAGTTCTCTACCCAAAACTTATCCCCAATAGAGCATACCTATGATGTATATGATAAATGGTATCTCTTGAAAGTCTCTGGTATATCGTAAAATGCTAACTAGTATGTGCCACTCACCACTGTACCACAATGTAAATCATTGTAAGCAAGTTACTATATTAACTTGACTACCGCTGCTACTGCTGCTGCTGCTGTTACTGTTACCGTAACAAGGTAAGTATTAAGTATTTATCGACTCTCGAGGATACCTATTATTATTATTATTATGATCATTATCATGTTTAAGGCAGGCCAAGTGGAGTAAAAAGAGGGGGTGACCGGTGGCTAACCTTTTGCCCCATCCCTTCCTAGTTGCAGTAGTCTATTGCCTATCTTGGCCTAGTTGGCTTTTACCTGCACGGCTGCTGGTGGCCCCAGCGCATTCTAATTCGAGCACCTGCTGTAGTCACTGGTCAATCTACACCAAACGGCACTTATGGTTGGACCATCGGATAATACATTCCTTCGAGGTCACTGTGGTGGTGGTCATGCTCACAACGTCAGCAGCTCCTCCCACAATTATCCTTGCTGTACAATAACTGACTAGTATTGCTCCGTGATGGTACTCAGTGGTTATGGGAAGATATTATATCACTCGTATATACATACACCCATAGGATCTTGCTGGGATTGTCACCAGCAATGAGCCGGCCCGCGTATGTCAAGACATAGGAGTAGCTATACTGTCTTGCCTGTAAACGGTAGGCTACATGAGATATGTATGCCGACAGAGGGTGTATTGGCGTGGCAGCAGGGAGTCAAATCCATACAATTGCAGACACAACATCATTTCTTGCCTTCTCCGCCCTACCCGCCCATTGCGTACAGAGTCTCTGCACATGGCAGCAGCAGGCGTCGAACCTACTTGGTTTATTTAAGACCACCCCGTAGTTTGCCCGTGTGAGAACAAGCTGGAATGTCCTGCGACGCAACCTCTTGGTCACCCCCTACCCCCCGACCCCAGCCAACACGATGTCTTTCGATCACATCGCAAATTTAAAGGGTACATCAGATGGCATGGCAATGCTAAGTATGAAAGTGTCGTATTCATTTTATCAGTCCTGACCTATTTGAATCATCCAAGCAGCAAGTGTATCGATTGATATCCTATTGTTAAGCTGTGTCGTAATATTAGCCAGGGTATAGAGTTTGCCTCTTCTACGGGGGGCTGAGAATCTTGTATACTGGTGACCAGGGACTGTGTACCTTGGAGCCAGGCGATGGATAGATACAATTAAGACACCAATAGCAACTTCTATCTAACGGTTCTTAAGCCCCAATGGATGTGTAGGAACACACGTGTGGGCTTGGTGTCATTGAAGCATTATTCCAGTGCCTTCGTGCAAAATTTCATCGAGTGTTGAGGACTCATGAGGGCGTGTGTATGCGTCTATTACTATACATGGAGAGTCACATTCCCATTGCCGATTGATTAACGAGAAGGAAATAAAAATAAAAAAGGCAAAAATGGAGCTGCGGGGAATCGAACCCCGGACCTCTCCCATGCTAAGGGAATATTATACCACTAAACCACAGCCCCATCTTATACATACTCAGCTTGTTTTTTAGTTATATGAGGTATTTCATTCTGCTGCAGAAAGTTACGCATGCCGCAATGATTATAATCGCAAGACATCATTATCACCTTAGGTGGGCTGTATCCTATCTATCCATCATTTCATATACATGCTCAGTGCATATATCATTCAACACGTATACCACATTATTACGGAACACCAAAAAATATAATCAAAAACACCAAAAAATGGAGTTGCGGGGAATCGAACCCCGGACCTCTCCCATGCTAAGGGAATATTATACCACTAAACCACAACCCCTTTATAGTGTACTTTGTCAAACCAAAGGCTATATAGTCCACCAATCTGTACGCATCGCGGTAGATCACTGATATCTATGAATATTCTTCCAAACCTTAGCCCAACCCCAGACACGTGGATGGTCTCGGTTGCAATCAGTAACACCCATCAACTACCTAGTCGCTTATGTGATAAACCGGGTGATGTCTTATGGTACAGTCTCCTGCCACGGTTTCCTATTGTTTCCGGGAAGTGGCCAGTTGGGTATTCAAGCAATTAACCGTTAGAAATCAAGAACTACCTTATTAACTTCCTTTATACATTCACACCACCTAGTTCTGGCTGGCAGTGTTATGTGTGTGATAGGGTCTGGTGCCTCTCTTTGAGGACCTCTACCTAGTAGGTCTGCCTAGATGAATCTATACATGATACGCGTCCCAAGCTCCTGGGCTTGAGGTCCGGGCTTTCCATTAAATGGCCGTGCGGTTGGCTTGTTTGCTGTAACTGGGTCGTCTACTCCTGACGCGCACTTGGGCGGGTTCTGGGGATGTTGGTTTGGGTGACATCAAATTGGTGTTTGGTCGGCGATAACGTATTGGCAAGTTCATCGTAGGTATATATTTATATACTACGTGTGTCAACAGTGGACGATACGAGTTACCATATCATACTGCCCGTCCCCTTTAAATGGGAGAAAAGTATTCCATGGTACCGAGAAAAACCCCCGAGCAAGAAGAAATCCCTAGACCACACTACCCCATTTCCAGATATCATGACAAGGTGCCACCTAGCAGAGGAATAGACACAAGTACCAGGTGTTGCTGTTCACACGCTGGGAAGCTGGTAGACCCACTTGGTAATCGCAGACAAGGGACTGCCATCGTGTTTTTCTCGAGCCTGCAATAAAGCAATGGTCGCCCGTGGCAAGAGTTCTACACATCGATGAGAGCTTTAAGAATCTGTCCAACTCCAATCCTTCGTGACACCTGCATATTTTGAATGTCCTCCGGAGGGCCAAAGCACCGACTAAAACAGAACCCGCAGCACAACCCCACAGTACCTGCTTTAGCCCGAACATCTCACTCAACACATCGTTGAGTACACATAAAATCAAACAAGAGGATTCAGTTCTTAGATATATTCCACAAACAACCAATTATGGGGCTGTGGTTTAGTGGTATAATATTCCCTTAGCATGGGAGAGGTCCGGGGTTCGATTCCCCGCAGCTCCATTTTTTGCTTTAATTTCTTCTTTTCTTTTCTTTTCCCCCCCACTCTTAGAGTGCACTGGAATCCGTACCCAAACTGCAAAGTACAATGACTTAGTCCAACAGCTGCAGGAAACCACCATTGTAATATGTTATTCCATCCTAACCACGCGGGGTCAAGTTCGGTGAGTAGGTATAATTCGAAGGATATAAGAGGAAGTCAACGGGATTCCCAAGACCAAAACCTCCAAAATAAAATTGATGTTGTTTGCCTTCGCACACTTTTAATGAACAAACCCGTATCATGCCAGATGTAAGCTAAACATGACAACGGTCTCTACGGTAGGCCCACGGAGAGATGAAACGGACTTGTCCTCTGCCGAGACCAGATGGATGACTCCTTTCTATTAAATCGAGCTCGACAACGCATGCGCGATTCCCAGCAAACTACTGGGCGTTGATGTAAGTAGCCCACTGGAAGCCATATTTGGCGCCAGACTGATAGACAAAGCCCTTCTAATTCCCTGGATCGTTACCCGTGCTTAACCTATCCGTCAAGGAGAGAGCCCCTGCCTGTCACTCAGAAGAGGAAACAGTCACAGCGGAAATATTAACTGGCATGGAGTATGCGAGAAAGATATCCGTATCATCCCTTGATATGCGGGCCATCCCCAACTGTCCACTGACAGATTAGACCTGACGGACAACTGCCCCCTTAAGGCAATAAACCTATCCTCAGGCACTCTTCTCCTACGCGATATTCCGGCAGCCCCAGGAGAGGCTCATTTTGCAACCAGAAAGCAACCACCTTTCCCATATCCTGCGCCAGATGCTCGCTACGACAAATGGAACTTTCTGCATCCAATACCGTCGCTTCAGACAATGCCAGAGATGACCAAGAACACCCACGACGTCCAGCGCGTAGTTTGTGATTCCATGTAGGCGGCATCCCGGCTTCCTTGTAACTGATATTCCTGTGGACCCCGTTGCTGTACTCGACCATGCAAATAACGGCTCACCTGCTAAGCCAATGAGAGTCTGACCCCGTCCACAGGCACTGGGTTACCTGCCAAAGGACGTCTGTGGATGCATATTATGCATGTCCCGAGCCAAGAGCCAATATATTGTGCACAGTGATTCACTGGCTAGGAGGCTCTTCCTGCTTTGAAACGGGTATCCGTACCAGAGTAGCAGGCATAGGTGAGCCATTCGGTAGTCTTTTGGTAGTTGAATCTGGCGTGTGTTCCATCAATGGGTTCAAGTTCGCGGCTTTCGCTTTTTATTTGATCAGCATCGTTTGAGAGCAAATCTACAACAGAGAGCAAACTTACTCGAGGCCATGCTGATGGCCCGCAGTACATTATCCCAGTTTGCAAGGACACACGCGACAGCTACAGCCAACACGAGAGTCAATCAGGACATACTCCACCATGATATTCGAATTGACAAACCTTCTGTGCCATCCTTGAGGGTCCCAAGCTTGTCCTGTAAAGCCTGCATCTGCGAAGCCAGCGCTGCACTCATATCACGGAGCTGCCTCAGATTGTCTAGTTCAGCCCTTTTTGCTGCAATGCGGGATGCTAGGACCGAAGACTGTTGCTGTGAGATTGTTGTAGATTGTTGGTTTGGCTGACGAAACGAGGATGTGGCCGAGGATCCGGGAGGGAGCATGGAAGCAGTACGAGACATGTATGCCATGATGTAGAAGATTTGATGCTACTGGCCGCGGTTTGTAGATGTCTGACCCTTTTTGAAGTCAATAGAGGCGGGGTATATTGACGGATAGTGAATAGTGAAAGACGCAGGCTGCACAGACCGCACGCTAGTTGGTATGACTGCAGTTGTGGCTTGTAGATATAGTGAAGAGCTGTATTACACGAGAATGTCGGTTTTTAAAGGGAGCTGCGGCTAGATGATAAACTGAAAGGTAAGATGTGAATGATTCATTGCGGCTAGCTTCTATCATTATTATGATGCACCATTTGAGCGGTCGCAGACCGACAGCAATCACACTAGTCCCGATAAGGGCATTTGTCAACAACCAACCCGCGTTTGTCAACTATCACGGGGCCACATCCACCCACTCTTGTTTACTCACCGGTTGATTCGGATAAGGAGGCAAGATACTATCTACAATACAGGATAAGTGTGGATGCTGGCTGCCTTTGCTACTTCTGATATACATGGTCTCTGGGCGATTGACTGCCTAAAGGAATTGACCGCAGTCTTGCCTCCTTATGCCGGGTATGGCTCGCTTAAATGAATCGTCAGCTCCAACAGAGCACATAGAGGCCTGTAAGCACCGCAACCCCTCCCCGCTGGGAATTTACTGAAGCTGACTCTAGCGCCACATCAGTAAAACGACGGTTTGTGCGACAGAATCGTGAGATCGCCCGAGTAAACTCGATACAGTCCCTCCGCATTCGCAGCCTGGAATCTGAAGTCTCTCATCTCCTCTCAGAAAATGTCTCGCTTCGGGAGCAAGTAATAAGCCTTAGCCAGGAGGTAGAGAGATTTGAGGCTGTCCGGCTACTCCAGCATGGTGTTTACGACATCAAGACGAGACTAGACAGCAAGTTGGCGGAGCTGAACAACCTGGTGGCTGACCTTGGCGCACTTCCGCGCACGTTCTACAGCAAATGTGCAGAGAATCCTCGAGATTCAAGCCAGCATCGGGCACTGCCGGATTGGAAACCGAAGGCTGCTGATGATGAGCTCAATCATGGGAAAGACGAAGATGGAAGGCTTCCTGTCATCCTGGAAGACAAATATTACCCCAGAAGAACATTAGAGTAAGGAAACGAAACCCCGAGCCTTGGATCTTCAATGCTTACTATGAACAGGCCGCAAGAGCTGCAAGATATCCGATATAATACTGCCGATAATCTGCGATCTCCTACTCCGGAAGAACCTGTAGTCACGCAGCCAGACACAGCGGACGACAGCTCCTCTACGAATGATACTTCCGATATCATGAATGCGCAGCAGGCACCAAGACACGACGAGTACATATCGAACGAGGACGAGGCAGTTTTGCCACCAACTCTTGAAACCAGGAAAAGAAAAAGGCCCAACTTAGCATCAAAGCAAATGGAAAGTCCTAGCATGGATCACGGGGCAACCTCGAAACGAAACATCCCTGGGGCTATCTTTGGCCCAGGGGCCAAGCGCAAAATTTCGGTGCATCACGAAGACACAATAGAATCGTTATCGAGAAAATCCGACGTTCCACGGACAAGCATGCAGTCACCTTCACCGGTGGGCAACAACGAGCAGTCGCTGTCTTCAGAGGCTGATGATAGCCCATCGAGAGGGAAGGCATCGCTTTTGACAGAAGAGGCAATGAGTCACAGGTTGGCAAAACGGAAAGCATTGAAGCATAGTATGTGCTGTGCCATGCCACCGCAATACTGAGATTTGATCAGCTAATGATGATGTAGGAAGCACGAACATGAATGTGACCAGCCCAACGAAAGCACATACTACAATGGTGCAAGAGAAGCACCAGAAGGGCACATTATCCTCCGTTCATGAAAAGGATGGGCAAGTTGGGTTGTCCCAAACACCCCCCGAAAAGAGCACGGATCCCGAGCAGTCGAGGCAAGAGTTGACGCCTGGACAGTGTCGAATCTATCAGTCCACAGATGAAGAGAGATTTAACGAAAATCCCATGGGTAAATCCGAGCCCAACACGCAGTCGTCGACGCTACTAGAAACTGAGAGCGGACCAAGGAATATGCCTGAGGTGTCCGGCCCAACAAGGCCTTCCAGGCGTCAGAGAGCCATTGTGAGCTATGCGGAGCCAAATTTACGAGACAAGATGAGGCGACCTACGAAGGAATTGATAGCAGCAGTTGGCGATCACCCAAGACGAAGCTCTAGCTCTCTCAATGCACGGCTGGATTCGAACGAGGATGAGGACCTGCGCAAGAATGGGCGATCGAATGGTCGAAGACCGCGAAACTCGGATTCTTCAGGCAAAGAACCTAGATTATCGACGACAGAGGCAGCAGCAGATTCATCCACCCAGCAAATGAACTCGGTATCTCAGAGGAAACGGAAGACTTCTCCGGCAAGCAAGTGCGATATGGCACCTGAAGGCATTTGCGAGTCTACAGGGGCATATCCCCATCACTGGGTGGCTGGGAGTAGTAAAGTCGATGAAGTAATGGCGGAAGATGGCAATTGTCAGACGCAGCCGTCGCAGATGGTTGGTAATGATATTACGAGGAACGTCCCCCCTATTGGGTGCAAGGCCAGACCTGCTACAGCTCGGAATTCTAGACGGCATTCCTCGCAGCCCGAGTCATCCAGAAAAGGTGAACTTCAACCAGCAAACAACGGCCATATAGGCATAGACAGCCAAGATGACTCTCCATCAGAGGCCCGTGCAGGTAATTCATACTCGACCAGATCTCTTGAAGGATTCGTCAAACCGAGCCTTCCTACACAGCAACCAGAAGCGAGTACTGGAGCAGACTTGTCTACTTCGAGGCTGGCCGAATCAGGGCGGACTAAGCGCGGGCAACGTGCCGCGGCTGCTATGGCTAGAAGAAAAAGCATGATGCTGTGAAATATACTTCATAGTTGTTGATAAACGGAGTCTACAATCGGCTCACCCTTTATAATCACAGCATTACCACTTCTTTCATTGTCCCCTCATCCATTCATTCCCTTTATTCGCTTTCTAGTACTGTACAGATTCCAGCAAGCCTTCTGAACTAAGTCTGATGTCCTGCACCATCTTCAACCACCCAGTAATATTTACGTTTATTGTATAGATAACCTCTTGAAAAATCATGCTAGAAGAAGTACTATGAGACATCCGTGCTATCCAAGGACGCTCAGGGGACAGGTAAGAAAAGGCTAACCTTGATAGTCAGTGTGGGTTTCCATTTGTACGATACTGAGAATGCAGATTTGATGGGGCGTATCAATTGATGTCGTTATCGCATTGCATGTGATTAAGATAAATCCTCTTATGGCATATAACAAACACTATTGTGGGAGACCTTAACTGCTGGATACTGAGGATGAATCACAGCATTGGTCTGCGAAAGATCTCGAATATTTTAACGGCCCTTTGTAGTCTTTGGCATTTTCTCATAGGCATTTGGGCTTGGTTTTCGTTTCGTTTTCCTCGTTCGGTGACTTGATCGGCAGGTTCTTCCTTCTCTGTTCGATGGAGGCCTCTGACCAGAAGAAGCATAGTCTTCTCCCTGCCCTGTAGGCGGGCGGTGTCCCGTCCTTCTATGGCAGGCCGCTTCGCCGTCGCTATCTGTGTCCGAATTAGAAGTACTGGAGTCCGAGGATTCGGACTCGGAGCTACTATCGCCAATAGGTCGGCTTTTGTGATAGATGCAGCACACTGCCATATGTGAGCACAGACTCGGAAAATCCACTGGCTAGGGAAGGATTACCTTTGGAACTCTTTTTTCCCATTCCTTCGTTATCTATGACATCTTCACTCCAGCGTATACGTCGGGAGGTGCCCTCATTCATTTCGGGCCGGTTAGCAGCAGGCTCATCTGCTGCTCTTAACCTCAGTGTTGCTGGACCTGGAATAGCTGACGAAGTGTTGGTATGCTCCTCTGTCAATTCCAGTTGAGAACTACTTGCTGGCTCAGACGGTATTTGGCGAGTCCGAGACATGGTCATAAACTTCAATATTGGCGCAACTCCGGAGACGGAGAGGCGTCCTGATGCTGTTATGGGACAAAGTTTATTATCGTCGGGGCTAAAATGTCTCTTGGACCATTAGAGCGTTCAGATAAATGGGGTTTGCTTCTGACGGAGATGCATCACAGCAAGAAGCCGGCCGCACACCGCCTTTTCGCTTCTGGTACGCGCTCAACTACTACTGATAGACGTTGGGGTTTACTTGCACAACAAGTATTCATGTGTAGAATAATGAATGCTTGTTCTTTGTTCTGGATTATACTAGACTACCCTTAAGTAGAATGACCTCTTTGTAGTTGAATGGCCACCTCCGAGAGAATATATCTATGTTCCATTACTTCATGCTCCCTTTTGGAATTTCTACGACCTTGTCACCGCAGCGCCTGGCTACCTCTTTCTTTTCTTTTTTTTTTATTCCGTTGGGTGGAAAGCTTCAAATATGTTGTCACTGCAAATTGATTGTTGAGGGAAGGCACGAAGGAAAGAGCGGAGGAATATCGCGCTGCGCTCTGGAAGCACCAAGACTGACTTTACATGAGGACCATATGATGAAAGAAACCCAATACGCACTGATAATTTCTTGTTCGTTAAATGGCAATTAGTTCAAACTTAGAGTCCATAACATGACCAGCCATCAAACCAGTCACTTGCCGATAAAGACCTGGGATCATTGCCATGCGCTGTGGTATCGGCAGTTGATAGCGCAACTTCGGAACGCAGTTCCTTGTCCAGTCATAGCTCATCCTCTTGATCCATTTCGGATGGCTTCAAAAGACCACCTACCCTCATTGCTCGGTCTCGTTCAGCGGCTTTAGCATCCCGCAAGGCTTGCTCCCTTTCTTCCGCATACAAGTCTGCGTTATCACCGGAGAACTCCTTCAGTGATATCAAGAAATCACGCAGGTGCGTCTTGAACTTGTTAAAGTCGTCATTGAATGCAAACAAGCCAACAACAAATTGTTTGATTTGGATTCTGGGAAAATATTAGCCAATCATTCGGTTTCCTTCGGCCCATATGCTCCTCATGATCGGGTAGAACATACTCCTGGAGATTCTTGAAAGCATTTTGTAGGAGATTCGCGACATATTCCTGCAAGAAATCCTTGTTGGATGTCCCTAAGGGTGCCTGCTCAGGAGAATAAATCGGGTTTTGCACTTTGCCAGACTCAATGAAGTAGAACATGCGCGACAATAGCATGGCCTGTGATTTGAACCCTGTTATAATAGACATTAGCACACTTCTGTCTACAGGAACAAGGACTACATACCGGCTTTATGATCACTGTCTGTCAGGACAAAGAACACATCCTGCAAGATAGGAATGTAAAACTGTTGGAAGAAAATATTTGAGGTCTGAGCATCAGTGTCGGCCATGTTGTTCATGAGCTCAAGGCACATTGTGAGACCTGTATTCTCGACTTCACGATTGTCGTGTTTGCTGGCCCACATGCAAGAGTCGATGACAAACTTGAATTGCGTAGCATCGAGCTTGAGCAATGCCGGGAAACAGTACAAGTTGATAGCTTGAATCAACTTGAAGAACTGAACACGGTGCTCTGGATAGTCATGGAAGTCTTTGTTGATCATTCCTAGTGTGCATTCAAAGACGCTCTCCATTATCAAGGGGACTTTGTCTTCCATCAGATTCTGGATAGCACATGTCAGCTTCATATCAATCCTGCAAGGCTTCAATGTCATCTAGTAGGGCTGGCTTACGTGTAACTTGTGAATAATCGTTGTCATGACGTTCAAGACCTCCGCCTCGCGCGCGTCAGGGACATTGCGATTGTAGTCGACGAGAACGGCCTCCAGGAGCGGAGGGACCATGTTTGCATTTACCATTTCCAGGTCGTCGGCTTTCTGCACATAGGTGTCGATGAGCTTCAGTATTTCCTTCTTGATCGTCCTTAGACCCCGGACTTTCGGGGTCTTCGTTGCAATGTTGCCTATATAATGGTCAGAAAGCCCTAACAAGTGACATGCTCGCTGCATAAGGGGTGAAGTGAAACGGGAATGACGAGAGGTAAGAGTGTGGCGGGGACAGAAGAAGACATCCTTACCATCATGCGCTACAGCGTCACTGATAAGCTGGCTGGAGGCACGGAACATATTGAGCATGTCATGATAAATCCGTCCAAGCTGGGAATAGAAGTAAGTGCCCACAGAGGAACATGCTGCGACATTCGTCTTCATAATATTTCCGATGATTTTTATCGTCTCGCCATCTTGAAGTATAGCGGGGTTCTGGTTTGCCTGCACTATGATGGCATCCCAGGCTGAGTTAGGCAGGGACATCAAATTTTCGATCAGTCGGTCCTGGAGGCCCTTTTGGCCTTGTGCCGAGATCATGTAGCCACAGGCTTCGTAAAAAGTGTGGACCTGCTGAGGAGAAAGATCACAAGTAATTTTCCTCATATTGCGAACAATTTCCTCAATGAATGGTTCGTTCTCCCCCGGTTGAAGCGCAACAAAATGCCGCCTGCATTTATTCGCAATCTTGATGAATGTATCGCAAGCCATGTCCTGAACACCTGGTTTGAGTTAGTAATGACTTTCCATCTGCAGGGTAGCAACACACCTTCATGAGTCTCATGCATGAACTCGAAAAGCTTGTTCACCACGGTCTTCAAGAATTTCCAGTGCGCTTTCAGGAATCTCGGATACTGTCCGACAATATACATGATATTACTCGCCACGACGGCTTTGTTGTCCTTTCCACGCTTCATTTCGGTAAGACCAAGAAGATCTTTGATGACGTTGACCAGGAATCGCTTCTCGGTCTCTTCATTCATGGCTCCGGAAATTGAACCAATGGCCCAGCAGAGAGTATTACAATTGGCCCAGGACCATTCGGACCCGTCAACCTGCTTGGCCAATTTTTCAATCATGATATTCTCTGTGTCGACGACATCCAGATGAGTCAGATAGACCAGGCATTCGCGTATCGTCTTGTAAAGTTGAATGGTGTCACTTTCCTTGACAAATTCGCGAACAATCTCGCCTTCGTCATTTTCAACAATCAAGACTTCCTCAGGACGCACCATCTTCTCAATCATGACTGTGCGAAGGCTTGATAAAACCTCCTCGTACTTGTGTTTCCGGAGAGGATAGTTGGCCAATGTGCTGGGATGCGGTGCACCTCCGTTCGACAGGCCGCTAACACCCATACTCACCAGAGGATTGATATCTGTGATTGGAAGCTGCTGCATCTCTTCGTACAGTTCTTGCACTAGTCTCGTCCAATATTCCAGGCAGATCTTGAAGACTTCCCTGTCGTCGATTTGACTGATACGAATGAGGTAGAAATGCGCGTGGGTGAGGTAGTCACGGTTGGGCAATTTTTCGATCAGCTTGATGAGTTAGCATGAACCTGATTGTTATGCCATGAGAACTCACATTCAGATGAGCGCTAAAAAAGCTAGAAAGAAACAGTGCCAAATTGAGAACGAACTCTTGATCCCTCGAGTTGCTCTTAGCATAGGTCTGTTTCAAATCCATGGACAAGGGGATGATTCTTGAAACTGCAGTCAGCGTCTCTGTGAACATATGGACCAGCCTCTCATCGTAATTGTACGGGTTGCCGATCTGTAACCCGCCGATTTCAGTGAGGCACTTGAGTGTGACATTTCTGAACTCAGGAACATCCAGAAACCGCGTCAGCAGGGTGTTTATGATGGGAGTTTCGAAGATATATCCTAAAGGAATCCAGTTCAAGAAACGAAGCAGAGTCTCTAGCGTAGCTTTGACAAGACTTGGCTGGTTCGCCGTGTTCAAGACCTCGGAACATAGCTGGAAAATGGACGAGAACTCCTGCGTCATTGAGGTCTTCAAGTTTCTCGCTTTGACCGAAGTCATTTGATCCTGGGAAAAGTCAAACACTTCTTCGGATAGTAGACGAAGAATCGCCATGTTATTCTCGCAGATGGACAGGCTGGTATGGCAAGACGAGATGATTTCGTTGATAAAAGTTGGCCAGTTATGTGGCCATTCTTGTTTCAGGATGGAAACGAGAACCAGGTTGAGCTTATTAAGGAAGGCTCGCTCACTCCTTAGCTTGTCCTCCGATTTCGAGTTCTCGATGATGAAGTTGACAATAAAATTCCGAATACCTGAGGATGTTAGAATAGTTTGACAATCGAGGTTAGTTAAAGAAATCACCTAGGCATTGCTCCCTGGGCAAGACCTTCCATCGCGTCATAATCACATCGTCAAGGACCTGGAGAGCAAGATCTGATTCTATCAGCGCACGGCCGTCTGCAGCATAGAGTGAGGCATCGTCTCGCACATTTTGTCTGTGGGTATGTTGATTCTTGGAGAATATTTCCCACAATTAACCAAGCATCCGGATTTTGCTTGAACTGGTCGCCGGAAACAAGTCAGAGCTAGATGAATGATATGTGCTATGCAATTCGGTCACTCACCTCCGTCAGGGTCTGCTGAGCTTGCTTTTGCTGTGAGTCGCATACCAGGTCAGTTCACATCTCAATCATGAGGACACACATTGGAAGTCATAAGCGCCCAGCTCCTTGCGACATACCAGATCACCCTTGCCCTCATAGAAGGCCCGGACTGTGTTGTCCAACTCTTGTATGGAAACAGACATTCCGCTCCACAAGTTGACAGTACTGTACGCTGCGCTCCTCGGCCTTCAATAGACGATTCAAGCAAGCGAGGTCTAGATGAAGACTCAGTAGGGTCTAGAGAAGGCCGTAGATACGAGACGGCGTAGCAAGAAAGAATAGGTTGGCAGAATATATGGCGGGGTAAGAGGCTTCCTTGGAGGGGTTCGTCGGAGGTAGGGTGAGCTTGGAGCAAACTCCTGCCTGAAGATGCAGCAGCCTTGGAGAAGCAGCTGGTAAAGTGGGGTACGGTGGCTGTAATTTATGATGAGAGTTCTGGCTTTGGGATATGGATATTTCTGGAAAAAAACAATGCGTACTACGGAGTACTGGCGGTGAGAACAGCGCGTCTCTCGGATTGTTGGCGCTATTCTATCGGGCCGGTGCGATGTATCTCCATTTAGCCTTAGTCATCAATTAGAGCTCTGACCTATAGCTAGTTAGTAGTAACTTATAAGTAGATACAGTAAATAGTTAACTACCGGATTTGTAGTACTAGCTGTAGAATTAGATACCTAGACTATGGGGTACCTATTCCTTTCATTACTTAAGTTTACACAATGTAGTATACTTGTGGAGTGGTAATACCGATGTGGAGATTTTTGCATAGTATGTCGATTATGAAAGGTCTTCAGGCTTACTGTAGAATCGATCTAGGTATGTTGAGCTTGCTTATAGTAACCAGATCATTCTTTTCTGAGTTTACAGTTATGATGAGCCCGAATATGACATCCTGGGGGGGGGTAGCTGCGCATATCATAGGCGTCCCAAAGATGGGCCTATAATATATCATATTGCTTCAAAGTCTATTTAAACATAGGGCTAGTTGGACTAGCAATAATGGATATGGGGAATTTTTTTTCTAGGATATGGCTTTCGTCTCCATATTGAGATGTGAGTGGATAAAAAAAGACACATGGTTTGTGCTAGGATACCAGTGACACCTAATCAACCCTTCAGTCACTTTATAGTAGATTACATAACTTAATACAGCCAGAAGCTGAGAATATCTGTTCATGTTACTTTTGGCAAATTTAGAACAGATGAAGTTTTTCGACATTGCTAATGATTGGTACTTGAGGTCATTAGGACACTGGTTTGCAAAGACGTACAAAGGACAGCTGGGATACAATTTACTTCAATGTGAATGAAATGATGTGCGTGGCTGATCATGTCACAATATAGGGCATATCACCCTTCATAAAAGAGGGGGATGTGGGCTCCTACTAATACGAAGTATAACTAATTCCCAGCATTCAAAGAGGGTAATACCCGTTGTTTACTGGTAAATCAAAATGTGAGTGAGATTTGCCAATTTCAGCTTTCCGGGACGATAGCACAGACATTTTGGGGGGGGGGGGGAGGAAGAAGGGGGTTCCGCGGTAGGTAAGAGGGAAGAAAGACAGGTGCTGTGCCGTACTAACCGCAACCGCGTCCCTCCTGCGCCAATGGCGAATAATTGGCGGGAAAAGGCAGCGCTGGTAAGCGACCGAGCTATTGTGCAAGCGTGTTCCACACCCACCATTTCAGGCTGTCAACGCGCAGGTCGCTTCGACCCACCAGGAACCTTTTCCGCGGCCGCCGTGCCGCGCTTCCCTCGCGGGTAGAGCAGACGGCAGTGCAAAAGCCACCGAACCAAGGCGAGTCGATTCCCCCCTCCCAAAGGTGGCGTGTCGCCTGAGCGCGCCATCGCTCAAACTCATGCGTCTTTTAACTTCACGTCCAACCAACCAGAAGCTGCTTGCCGGGGTTGTGGTAGCCAACCATTTGCTTCGCGCCGCTCATGGCCGATCGCGCGCCAACTTCAATCCTGTCGAGTGCTCAGCGGCCAGCTGGCAGCCGCATCCTTCTGCCAGGATGTACGACACCCAATGAACAACTCCAACTCTACAGTGCATCCATCCCACTAAGGTACTGCTAGTACTTCGACTCCCCTGGTCGTTTACCTCTTTAACATTACTATTTTTCTTCCCGCCCCCCCTCCTTACGGCTGCTCGTCTTTCCTTTTTCTTTCCTGGGGTTTGCAACTAGGTACTATTGGTTCCTTAGTGAAATGCCTCGTTTCTTGATTCCCACCTGCAGGCGGCAAAAAATTTCGTTCTAGGAGTCCGTTTCGACATACTACTCGCTGACCTATAATTGTTATCGTTTGCCTATCCATCTTCTCTCCACTGCTAGTACGACCACGGCCACTACACTTTCCCCTCCTTCTTTCCTTTGACGCCTTTCCCCTCTTTTCTATTTAGTAACCGCCCTATCTTGAATCCATCCCTGCGAATTGATGTGAGACGGCCAGACATTCCCCCATTTCAATCTACCATCTTAATCTAGCATTTCTACTCGCTTCACGTAACCTTCTGCGCATCATAGTTGCTATTCTTCCCTCTATCCTTATTTTTCTTACTTCCAAAGCGAGGAACGCGCTTTCTATTTTCCTCTCTTCTTCCCACCTTTCTCTTCGCGACCTTCCCTGCAATGTCCAAAACATTTTCGCTCCTACTTCTGCGCTAAAACACTTATTTCCTTGCCTCTACTGCCGGGCATTCCCCCAGCCCAACAACAACTCGAGATTGGCCTCTTTAGTGGCACAGTCCTAGGGGTAGTCATACAAGTCACCTAGTTATTTACTAGGAAGTGACCGGATATTCAAATACTACGATAGCCTTCTCTATCTCTCTTTCCAGCATAGTCGACTTGCACGACATATGTTTCCGCTTCAAATCTCCTGCACCGCTTCCTGAGCTTGCATCCCTTTGGGACTGAATTCGATGTGCTTGTTTGGAGACCACAAATGATTCAATTCAGCGCGCATAATTCACAAGATTATATTGGGCAATTTGCAAATACAGACAGGCGCGTCTAGCGATTCCATCGTCCATTAGCCAGTAAGTGGCGGTAATCATCATCATCGGGTACAAGGAGCTTTGTCCTCAAAGCAAATGTCGGATAGTTCAACTTTCATCCGCGCTGATCTATAACCATCCATACACTGAGCTGTTCATTTACCATGGCAACAGTGGCTTCTACATCGGTAATGAATGATCAAGACACCGAAAAAGCGCCCAGGGCGGACCATAGCCCTTCTCGATTTACTGCAGTGAACGGAAAAGAGCCCTCGGTTACTGCGGGATCTGTGCCCACACCGGCTGTAACCGATTGCGCCGTTGAATCCTCCGATGTCATCGTACGAAATGGTTTAGATGCGCAATCTCGCCTCGACGAACAAATACAGGGGAATGGGAACGCTGAGAGCGGCAACAGTGCTAATGAACCAGAAGAGCCTCATTCTCAGCGGTCACCTTCCCTGAGTGGCTCGTCGGGCCCCAGCAAAAGCAAACGGAAAAGGTCGGAATCTGGGGAACAAGAAGAAAGCCATGGTATGCTTCGCAGGGCTCCGAAAAGCCCGGTTCTACGTTCGGATGATACGAGCCAACCCCCCACTCAGACATCTACGTCGAACGACACCGGCATGTCCCATGGTGAAAGCGAAACCAAGCATCCATCCCCTTCTACTCAGCCTCGATTAGAGGAACATGGGGGTGATACTCGGACGCCACCCGCAAATACAACATGGCATGATTATGATTCCCAGCTGGTACATCAAGCCCAGCGTGCACAACAGTTTGACGCATCCGATGCTCAATTGGCTGAGGCACTTCAGCGCGAGGCCAATGGCCATGATACGTCTCAAAAGAATTGGGGGGTTACAAGCGGTCGTCCAACGGAAGGGCCAGCACAGAGTGAGCAGCCATCCTCACTATCTGTACTTCCTCAGGAGCGGCCCCAGGCAGCCGTACAAGTTGCACCCAAGAGAAAACGCGTGTTTAGTAACCGAACCAAAACAGGCTGCATGACTTGTCGGAGGAGGAAAAAGAAGTGCGATGAACAACATCCTGCCTGTAAGTTTGGTGATATGGTTTCCGTAGCTGTGTTGTGGTATGGTTACGATCTAACTTCATCGGTGTTGTAGGCAACAACTGTATCAGGGGGGGCTTTTTGTGTGAGGGCTATTCTTCCCGAAGCACCTGGCAAAAGCCGTCGAATTCGAAAACTCCAGTTCCTCTGCAATCCAAGGAAGGCTATTTGGATGTCAATTCTCAGTATGTCCACGATATAAGTCAGCATGACCGGCAACAAACCTTGCCGGAACAACTTGATCCAGGGAAAATCAGGCCTATTGTTGTAGACGAAAGCGACCGGGCAACTGCCTCGTTCAATACTAGTCCCACAGGAACTAATTCCGGTCGCGGTCCATGGACGAAACGCAGCTGGGGAAGCACAGGCCACCCTTCCTATATCTCCGATCATGTGGCAAAGCCTGATTACCGCGAGGTCCCCTCGATTCATGAGTTATCCCGGGAAGGCCCTGCTAAGTCTGATTTCCCAATCGTTCCTCCTATCAGAGAGCTTTCTCATGGAGGTCATTCCAAACCCGGGGCAGTCCCGCTCTTCCAAGGAGGGATAGATCAACGATCAGCACATTCAGGGAACGTGGACACTAATAGCCCCCAGGCTCAGGCGCGGATGGCACTAAGCATCGAACATCAGTTATCTACTCGTACATTATCGACCGAGGACACCGAAAAAGATAAGATGATACGTGGTGACCTCTACCGACCTTATGATGTTCACCTCGTGGAAGAAAGGGATCGCTGCAAGGCCGCCTTATGGCGGTTCAATAACGCCTGTAACCCTATTTCGGGGTTAAGCACTAAGGAGCAAAGTCGGTTGCTGAAGGAAGTGCTTGTTCCTCCAGGCTCAGCTATCAACTCACCTCCTGGTCTGACTTCATCTCGTTCGACAGGGTCGTTAGGGCAAGGTGCTATAGTTGAAGCACCTTTCTACTGTCACTATGGGTACAACGTGCATATCGGTGAAGATGTCATGGTCTCAGAAAATTGCTTGTTTGTTGATGACTGTCCTGTAACCATTGGTGCCCATACCTGGATAGGTCCCCGGGTTACCATACTTACATCAATGGCCCATGCTAATATGCAAGAACGCAAAGGCTCACAAAGTCGATATCAGGGGCGCCCTGTTACAATCGAGGAAGATTGCTACGTTGGGGCTGGCTGTACGATCTATCCTGGTGTTCGACTACGACGCGGGGCGTATGTCGCTCCTGGAGAGGTAGTAAAGTCAGACATCGTAGCCTATGGTTTTCAGGGACTAAAGCCAAGCTATATGTGATTTTTGTGCAGATCTGTTGGTACGTACCAGCTGGTTTTTGGCTTTCAGGATACCAAATATTTTATACTTGTCTTTATCATCAACCTTCAGCTTCGCTTGTAATTATACCGATTTATTCTCTGCATCCTCTCTGAGAGATCTGGCTGGCTCAGAGCACAAGGTGTGAAGCTTTGACATAACCTTAGTTTTTCCATCGACCCCTATTTGTATTCTTTGATAGCATGAGTGGTCCGCAGGCGTAGATTGGCGAAATGATATATAATCCTGTCCTCAACATCAAAGCAGCTAGACACACAAACATCTTTACAGAAGCATTGTTTTCGATGACAGACTTCAAGTAGGATTTGGGCGGACATAAATCATCAATTGTTCAAAATGTGGCGTATCGGAAATTTATGAAAGGCCAGCAAGAGATGGGGAAATATAATAAGATTAACAGGGACAAGCGGGAAAGGAAAAGAGGCAATGCGTTTTTCCTCCGTTTAGTTTCAAAGGGAAATGAAGCAACAAATTGATGCTTTTCGATCGATCGACAGGCCCAATCAGATAGATGGACTTTGACATGCAAAAGACAAAAACATAATTGGGGGGGGGGGGAGATAAACAGCAAAGTGGGCACACTCGTTACAGTCATGATTTAGCTCGGTCTTATCACAATAGCTTAAGAAAGCCAATCCAGAAAGTCGGGCACAAAATAGCTCACAATGATACCAGCTCCTGCCCGTAGTATACCCTCTGTGCTCTCGAAAGCCATTGACTTCAGATCGAAAACGCCAGCCTTGGCCCCTGCATGTATCATGGCATACTCTCCGCTAACTTGGTATGCGGCAACTGGCATGTCTTTGGCAAGCTCCTTGGCATCCCGTATGATATCCAGATAGCTACTAGCGGGCTTCACCATTATTATGTCTGCACCCTCCCCAATATCGCGCTGTATCGCTCGCCGAGCAAGTCCCCGGCCACCTGGAGGCAATTGGTAACACCTGCGGTCTCCGAAGGATGGGCAAGAGCCTGCGGCATCTCGGAAGGGACCATATAGACATCCACTGAATTTTGCACTGTAGGACATCAGGAGGACACGATGAGCAATACCAGCTTCAATAAGCTTGAGCTTTATGGCGCGGACTCTGCCGTCGTTCATATCTGACGGAGCCACGCAGTGAGCACCAGCGGCAGCATAGGCGAGGGCTACATCTGAAATCCGATCAACGGATTGTGCGTTATCGAGCGTCCCATCCTCACGTAGTATTCCGCAATGACCATGTGAGGTGTATTCACAAAGACAGACATCCGTCACGATATAAAGTTGAGGAAAGCGCGAACGAAGAAGGCGGATGGCCTGAACTACTGGACCGGTCGGATCATCTGCAGCGGTTCCCAGCGCATCCTTTGCAGATGGATGCAAAGGGACACCGAACAGAATCACGGAACGCAGTCCTTTCTGTACCAATGGTCTTAGAAAGGGAACTAATCGATTCAACCCTCGGCGATACTGATTTGGAAGGGATGGAATAGGCGTCTCTTCATCAGGGTTATCAGTAATAAATAGGGGATAGATGAGCATCTCCTGCACACAGTCAGACCATGATACTACAGGACTGTATCGCAATACGAACCTTGGTCAACTGCTTCTCGGCTTGCCATGATCTACTCAATGGGTGACTATAACCAGAATGAAGCTGGCTAGATATGTCACCAGATATGCTAACGCTGGTCGCAGCCGTGCTGGTATATGATCGTGCGGTGGCTTGCGACCGTGCATGGGATATTTGAGAACTTCGGTCATCCTGAGCGTCTCTGAATGCAAGGTCAGAAACAAGGTTTGAAAACGACATGATGAGATGAGTCTATATTGAGTAGAATGGTCGAACTCGGTTTCTGCTTTAACGGTTGAGCAAATGTTTGTTGCTTCAATTAATATTGGGCTCTGAAGAACGTTGCCAGCGTATAGGGTTAAAGTGTTGAATATTGACTTTGATTGTTATGGCCATGTACGTGGCAGGAACGCAGTTGAATGTGCAGAATTGAATAAACTTAAGTGGTCCGAACGATCTTCCGTTGGGAGGCGCAGCTTACCAGGAGCGTCTGATTACTAAAATGACATGGAACTGTGGCATGTCAGTGTTGTCTGGATGCACAGTAAGAGACCTCGGTCATCCCGTACCATATCAATTAGAAATACATACTCAACAGCTTAACATATTGAAAATTTTAGATTTAAGGATTTAGAAAAATACTATGGGCAATGTCGTAGAAAATAGTATTCGAAAACTGTTATTTACATAGACATAAAATAAATATATATTGAGTCTAACATCTCGGGCATCTGTCCCTCCCTGAATCTCACTTCAACATATTTTATAATACTTCTTTATCTTTATATCTGCTTTTTTTGGAATTTAACTTCAACATATTCTTTGATTTTTATCAATTTATATCTACTTCTCTCCGGATCTCACTTCAGTATATTGTCTAGATATCCTTTCATCTATATATCTGCTTATTTCTGAATGACTGAATCTTATCTTGATATACAGATAGGTGCTCAAAAGTCTCGGGACAACCCCCCAAATCACACCAAAACTCATCTATTTTAAATCTATTTATCTCAACAAATTTATTATAAGGGTGAATGTGTTGAGATAGTGTGAAAAGTATATCTTATTCACGAGGATTGAACGCAGGGTCTATTTTCTTAAAGTATTATTATTAACTATCCTATCCTCTATCCATAAATAGTTAAAGTATTCGCGGGCAGCCTGTAAATCATATAATAATATTAATTTAATTTTATAATAAAACTACTATTAATATAAATATTTCTTATAATAATTTAATTACAAGAATTATAAAAATTTAAATCTTTATAATTATCTTTTTTTTATAAGGTCTTAGTTCCCAAGGCTGTAAGTATTAATAATAATTATAATATTTATTTATTTAAAGTATTCTTATAAAATTAATAATCTATATTATTATTTATAAGAGTTAGATATTATTAAAACCCTTATTTATAAATCTTTATAAAAGAAATCAAATAAAAAAAATTATTTATTTTTTTTATTTTACAGTACTCTTACAAGGACTTTCTTATATTATTATTTATAGAATCTTATTATAAGATATCTTTATAGTATTTTATCCTATCTTATTCTTTTCTAATATTATAAATATATTTCTTGTAATAGTTTTTTCACAAGTCTCTTTTAATAAAGTTTTTTTATAAGATATATAAAGTGTTACTTTTTATTTATAAAATTTTATAATTTATTATAAAATCTCAGGCTTCTTGCAGAATATCTTTTAAAATTTAATATATATTAATAATAAATTTATTTTAAGATATAAATCAGGACTCAAGACTCAGGATTTCTAATAAAACTTTATATAATTTTTTTTTATTTAGAATTTAAATTTTTTTATAATTTTTTCTACTCCCTCCCTCCCTGTGAAAATGTTTATATATAATTTCTTTTCTTATATTTTATAATAATTAATAACTTATTTAATTAATATAGTATATTTTATTATATTTTATAATAACCAGTTTATCTGACTGATATAATATATTTTTTTATTTTTTATAATATTATATTAATATTCTTTTCTTGTGCAGTTTTAATAAAAATATTTATTATTATTTTTATATATAATTATCTTCTACTCTTCCCCCCTATAAAAAAATAAATAATTTTTTTATAAATAGTTATTATATTTTATAAAGTATAATATTTTTATATAAAATTTATTTTTTTATTACTACATGCTAATATACTACTGCTGTTACTATTAAATAAATTTATTATTATAATTTTATTTTTTATTAATTTATTTTTATTATTTATAGTTTTTTTTCTTATTTTTTATTCTGTAGTAAGCCTTTCTTTTTTTATAAGATTGATTAAATTTATGGTTAATAATAGTAGTTATTTATTATTATTATTATTATTATTAATATAGTTTTTTTTATCTGCAGCCCCTGTGCCTTCTATTATAATAAATTATTTTATTTTTATAGATATTTATATATATATATAGATATTTATATATATATATAGATATTGATTTATTACAGTCTGTACTTTTTACAGATATATTTAATATTATTTAGTTTTTATAGTACCTGCTGTCCACAGTTTTTATTAAAAAAATCTATAAAAAATAATATATTTTAATTAATATATTAGCAATCCTAATTATGAAAAATTCTTATATTTATAAACTATTTCTGCTTTCTGTAAATATTTCTAGAATAATTTAAAATTAATTATTATATTAATTTATAAAGCTATCTATAGAGTCTTAATTTATTAAAATTTTTATAATATATTTAATTATTTTATTTAATTTTTTTTTCTTAAAAATACAGAAGCTACTTTCTAGTTAAAAATATTAGTAAATACTAATATCTATTTTTTATTCTGTATTTTTTATTAAATAAATTTTATAAAAATAATTAAAAAATATATTTAATTTTATAAAATTATATTTATAATCTGAACTAGAGTATAATTCTTTTTTAATAAAAAATATAATATATATTATTAGAATTAAAGCGGTGCCCTGGCTTTTATAATATATATTAATAATAATTATAATAAAAAATATAATAATTATTTTTATATTAGTTATTAAAAATATTTATTTTAATAATAATCAGGATAGATATTTTACAGGATTAATATAATTTATTTTTTATTTTATAATATAAATTTATTTATATATAATATAAAGATATCTAGTAATTAGAATTTATAGAAAATTAGATAATTATTTTCTTTTTATTTTTATAATATAATCTCTATTATTTTTTTATTTTAATAATAAAAACTATCTCCTGGTTATAAATTTCTTATATAATTATAAATAATATAAATTTATAGCAGATTCTTATATATTATTTTTACTAGAATATTTTTTCTATTTAATTAAAATCTCTATACTTTAACTTTATTTTTATAATATAAATAATATCTTCAGGTAGTATTCACGAAATTTTTTTTATAAATAAAAATATTTTTATAAATTTATTTTATTTATTTTATAGTGCTCACGAAGTAAAACAATATAGAATATATTATAAATTTATATATTTATAAATAATTTAAATTAATAAATTTATATATTTATTTTTTTAATATATAATATAATTTTTTATTTTATAGATCTAGTTTCTTACTAGTCTACTTTTATAGAAGATATTTTATATATAACTAAATTATTTAATTTACTGTGAGATTCTTAAATTATTTTATATAATTATAATACTTTTTTCATTTTTTATAAATAAAGATTAGATTTTTCTTAACTCTTTTATAAATATTTTAAATTTTTTTAAGTCTTATATAAATATTTTTCTTTTTTTAAATTTCTTTATAAAAATTTAATTTAATTATTCACAGGTACTTCATGAAGATAATATAAAATAATATTTTTTTAATTAAGATTTATAAGAAGTTATTATATATAAATTTTATAAATAATAAAAGATTAACTTAATTATTTTATTTAAAATTTATATAATTTTACAAGTACTATTCAAGAATATTATTTAAATATTTTATTTAATTATTTATTTACAGATAATAAGCTGTACTTAATCTTTATTTTATTATAAAAATATATATAAAATTTAATTAGAATTTTTTTATAAATATATTATTATAATCTGTAATAATCTTCACAGATATTTTATATAATTAAAAAATTCTTTAAAAAAATAAAAAAAATTATTTTATTATACTTATTTATTATTACTAGAATACTATTAAAAATCTTTTATAAATTTTTTATAATATTAATACTTATAGATAAATTAATAATAAAATTTATTATAATTTTTTTCATAGCTTCGCGGGTACTGGAAATAATTTTAATAAATTTTATTATTTTTTATAAATTATTTTTTTAAAGACTTTACAGGTCTTATAATATATTTACATTAAATTTTTAATTTTTATTTACTAGAATCTTTATAAAATTAATATTATTATTTTTTTATCCGCAAAATATTCTATAATAAAATTATTATATAATCCTATAAATATTTATAATTTTAATTTTTATTTATTCAAAATATAGAGCTTTCTTGATTTCTAAAAAATTTATAATTTTATTATTTAATAAATTTATCTACTTTTTTATTTTTTATAAATCTAAAACTTATAGAATCTCTTAATTTTTTATAAATTCTCTAAATTTAATTATCTTAGATTAATATTTATAATATTTTTCTAAATAACTCCGCGGACAGGTTTTCACGGTAAAATATTTTTATAAAAATAATTTTTTTTATTATTTTTTTTCTTTATAAGTTATTTTTAGTTTAAGATATTTCTATAAATTAAAATTTATTTAATTATTATAAATTCTTCTTTTTTATATTATATTTCTAATAAATTAGAAAGTTATTATAATATTATTTTTTTAATTTTTTATAATCTTCTGCAGATACTTCTTTTTTATAATTTAATTATTATAATAAAATATTTATAAGATTTTAAGTTCCTGGACAGTATATAATATAAAATTTAAATATTATAAAATATTATATTTATTATACTTATCTTTATAAGAGTTCTTTATTAATTATAAAGTATTTTGAATTTTTATAATTTATTATAATTTTTATTATAAAGTCTGCTTCTTCTAGCCAGTATTTTTATTTTTTAAAAAACTTAATTATTATAAATAATTTCTAGTTTAAAATTCTATAAATTTACTCTATTATAATTATCTTTTATAGATAAAATATAACTAGTATTTATTAGCTATTCTTATTTTTTTATAATAATATTTTATTAATTATAAATATTGATATATCTAATTTAATATATACTTATTTTTTTTGAAATAAACTGTAATAATATTCTTAATAAATATATTTTTTAATTTATAAAAACTCTTATAAATTTCTTTTATTAAAAAATTAAAATTAGATTTTTTTTCTTTTACAGGGCTTCTTAATTGAATCAGTAAATGAATTAAATATTTATAAATATTTTTATATAAATTAGTAATATTAATTTATAAAATTTATAAATTATAGAAGTTTTTTTATATTTTATAGCTCAGGTTATTTATAGATTATTTAAATTTATTTTAATTTTATTTATATATCTTCACAGCTGATAATAAAATCTAAAATATTAATTTCTAGTCTTATAAAGTAATATTTATTTTATTTTATATATAAATTTATTTTTTCTAAAATTTATAATATTTTATAGATTT